CCTATCGCGCGGACAACTGTTATGGAATGTAGTTCAGTCTATGCTTTTTGTATCACGCCATTCGGGGAGATGTAGCCACCGATACAGCGCTATCTAGGAATTGAATATTCATGATCTGTTCCTGAAATATTTTGCTCTTTGATGCGGCTATTTTTGGTTTGCCCTTCTTCTGTCTCCTTCAGAAATTCTGCTGCATAATACGATATTCATAAATCTTTGCAAAAAAAACCCAGCAGTTTTTGTATGTCCTATACTGTCCTCGAACAACGAAGTATAATCCTACTACACCTTTCAATATTAGCTGGCCGTAACTGCATAATTTTTGCAGTGGGGCCGCTTTGGATGTAGAGTCTATCGTTGGACGAAAGCGCGAAGCGATATTGATCAAGCGGTCGCGAACGCGGCGCGCGCGTATCCGGGCGTGAAACTTTGCCCTCAATACGCCCTGCAGCCAATAAAATCGCGCTCGCAACCCTACGTTTTGCGCTTTCATCCTGCACTAGACTTTACCCACGTCGTTGATGCACATGTCTGGTGCCTTACCCATGTGATATACCTTGCCATGGACCAGCATATCCGCTGTTTTCTTTCTCACTGTGAAATGAAATTGTTCGACGAGAATTTTCTCATTTCGTGGTGACATGGGCTTTGACTTTTTTCTATTCTCTTCATTCTTGCACTGTTCATTTCGTGGAGCACATTTTCCCTCGGGAGCGGCACCACATACCAATTTTACCTTTCTGAGGACTAGACTTGGTTGCACTATTCTTCAGACTACTTTTTTTCAACAGTCGCTTTGAGAGAAAGCGAATCGTGCATTTTCTCAGCTCAATACATTTTTGCAGGTCTGATCCGTTGATGAGTCACAATTTCGTGAGAGCAGACACACTGAGCTAAATCACGAAAAGGTGGTTCAGTGTGTCTCTTCAGTGTGCTGTTACACTGCACAAAATATCATCGGCAGCACGAAAATTTTCTTTCTTCTGGCGTTTTTCTCTTCATTTTATAACACCAAGTCTCTCCCTTCTATCGCGTGCATTCATTAAATCCGATTCTTCTCTGCAAGAGTAATCCTCCTGCACGCTTGCCTTCTTTCAAACTTCCTCTATGCATTTCTAGACATTCTGAGACTAAAATGCCGAAAACGTTCCACATAAATAACCCGGCTGCCGTCTCAGCCATAGCTTGGCTCTCATTATGTAGCTCAGGCCTTTAGGCCGTTGAAAAAACGCTTCGTCGCTGGCTCATCTGTTGTCATCAGCGGCTTGCATTCTCTACCCGGCCTATATTCTTTCGAGTCCGTTGGCTTATAGCTGCATTCTCCAATACATTGTAATGTAGCAAATACTTTAGCGCGATTTTCCCAATTTTCCTGTACAAACCCAAGGATGATACACCAATCTGCGACAGCTTACTTTTTTTGCATGTTTTTTGGCAGACCTATGTGTGTATCGAATATAAATTAATAGATAAATAAATAAGTAAGTAACTAATATGTAACAAAGCCAACATAGTAAATATGAAAGGGCTTGAATCCAGAATCCAGAAAAGGGAAATGCAGTGGGATAATAAAGTCGTGTGGTCCTTGTGCTACGAACTATAGGTTGGCTAATAAATAATTTTGGTCGCTTTTGCGGCTCCTACAAACGCTGCAGACAATTTTTCCCCACTATTCGGTATTTCTGGAAAGAGCACTTCAATGACGATAGGAATGTGAAATCTATCTGAACAGAATTCAATTTCCAATGAAAGAAATCCGCAAAGAAGCGAGAAAGTTTAGCTTTCTCAGTGGGCGCAAATATGCTAATTGTTTTTTTTTTGGGAGGGGGAGAGACTTTTGAAATGGCAGATCACAATTTTCATTGCTGTTCGCCAATAGGAAAATGTGGTTCATATTCAAATACCAAATCACTATTGTCTACATCCATTATAGCGAGAAAACGAAGCTTAGAAAGTGGCAGAATTGCGCTTCTGGAATTTGAGCCATATTGGGGCCTAACTGTCCATTACACAAAAAATCATGGGTAAAAACAATTAGAAAATTTTTTATGTAGATTTTTATACCAAAACATTTTTTCCAGCCAACCTAATATTAGAATTATTTTCGATTGTTGTTCTTTCTGCTCGTGATCATCAATTATCAGCCTTATTTGTTGAATTAACTACAGAGAGTCTCATTTTTCGCACAGAACTTTTGCCTTTTTATTATGTCCACGTGTTATTTACGTTGTTTTCAGTCTTCGGATCTCAACAGTCGGATACTCCATAACTCTCTACGTCCTTTTTCCAAACCAAATTTAGACTCTTATGTTTGGATCTTTTCTCCGATGATTTTAATTGTTCATTCACAGTCTCGCTGCTGCTGAAAAATGCTTTAAATTAGCCACTTTTCTGTACATATCTTCTTCATGTCCACTTCAATATTCCTCTCTCTGCAGTTTTATGTTTTTTTTTCTAATTATGCCTTTATCATAACAATCACATTGCAAGAAAATTTCCCCACTTGTAAATACGAGTCCGAGAATTGTCTGCTATCAATCAGATGACCAATTAAAGTGCAAAATGTTAGCAGCACAAATAAACGTCTGCAAAGCTAGTGAATGACAACAGAACATCAATGAGAACAGCAAATTTACTGTAACCTTTTGAAATAATTTGGAAATCCAGCTAATCTCGATTCGATTATTTGAACTAATGACAAATTTCAAAAACATACTAGCTGCTGCTATATCGGTCTTTCTCCTCCCTCCTTGTTTTTTTTTCTGAATTTTTTCTTAGCAAACTTAAATGAGCAAATGGATGTTCAGGATGTTTGTAGGCAATAAAAGTATGTATTTGTTAGCTATCGTCAATCCTCACAAATCTCTAGCAAAATTAGTGAGAAAAAACTTGATGATATAATCTTCTTTTTCGCGCTATAGTTCTTGAAAACATTAGAAGAATGTGAGGTTACATCTATCTAATTCTATCAAAGCTCCGAAACCAGCTACTGAACGCGATATCACTAGAAGGCAGAGAAAAATATTCAAGAGCAGAATGCATTGTTTTTAATTCCCACGCTTTTTCTTGCCCAGAGCCCCCCCCCCACGAACCACGAAAATAATGCAGAATACAGAAAGTTTTGAAGAATTAAAAAATTATTTTTCTTTGTTAAATGAGCTTAGCCCAGAAGATTTCATACCCAGAAGCTATCCTTTTTTAAGGATATAGGATATATATCTCTTCCCATCTGACATTCAATCCGCCTTTTGGGTAAATTGATATAGGGATAGTTCTTTCATAAGAACCGAAACGCAGTCTGAGTTTTCTGTTTTGCCGAATTTCTAGACGCTCACCTCACAGATGAGTAGATGATCCTTTGCTTGTTCTCGTACATACAGTAAGATGTAATGAACCAAACCGTACTTTGCCCAACGGGGTCGCGCATCCTAAATTCTGAACGACATCTTCATTACATTCTAGAATCAATCAACTTTAATCAAGGACTGCTTCATAGTGTGCAAATTATCTCGCTCTAACACCAAAAATCCTATCATTTTCATCTGGGAATGTCTAGTGTGATACCTTATTCTAGAATGAATTTTTATTTTTTGGAAGCATTTTCCTTGTTCGTCTGTGAGAGGAAACTGAATATCTCCACATTTTTTCATCTCCATGACGAGGAACACAGTAAGATGCGCTTGAAATTTTTTCATGGGGCCTCTATCAAAGACAGACATTATTTTGCCAGCAGTCTGTATATAAAACTGAGAAAAACAATGTGTTTTCACACTGCAAAACCCATTCGCTTATATGACCGGCAAAAATTACTAAAAGGGTCATTCTTTGCAAAAGTGTTCTTCAAGAAACTTGTCGTTGTACAACAATTCTACTCTAAGTGTTCTTCGCACCTATCCAACCGTCTAAAAACTTCCTCGTTGGCAAGCAAATGCTTACATTTTGGAAATATCAAGCTACAGCAATTGGCCCAATGGTGTGCGCTATCCGACCAAAAACTAGGCCGGCTCCGCACTTTAGATGGAAGGCGCACAATCAATAGATGCGGCGAGAAATTTCATTGTCCGGAAACTATCGAAAAACAATTCGAAAAGCCATTTTATGCTTGTTGCCCAAATCTAGAATGGATGGCGCGTTAGAAAGGCGACGGGGAAATGTGGGGTTTGTATGGGCTTGAACACAAACACTTCAAAGCTTTTGAGTAATGGAAAACCAAGAAGATTGCCGGGGTCAATCTCTGCAGTCCATCATTGTCTTCTGCCTGCAGCGAAAGCTCGTTAGGCAATGTGGGTTGCTGATGCAGACTGGCGAGGGTCTTATTACGTCAGTGAACAAGGGTAGGCAGCGCCAAACAAGACGGGAGGGGGGGGGGGGGAGAGAAAGAAAATGGCCTCAGTATGAGGAAGAATTGCCAAACAGACTGAAGGAACCAGTAGGAGTGAATTCATTGCTGTTGTGTTTTATTAAACTTCACTCACAATCTGATCTGTTCCAAATAACCACGACCAGTAAAAACCACATCCAAATGAAAAACAACGAAAAAATGATTTTTGAATTTGGATCGTTCGACTAGTAAAAGGTTTTGATGTACTCTTTGATATAACTAAATTGGTGGTTGAAGGCGGGGCTTTGTGACCTAGTTAAGGCTGGAGAATGATCAGAGAGCACGCTCGTGAGAGAGACGCAGACAGCGTTTTAATCGGGTCACAAAACCCCGCCTTCCAGCTGCCAATCCAGTTGAATCAAAGGTAAATCTTCACACACTAAAAACGTCTAGTATGCATGCTGCTTTCGGTAATCGATACAACTTCAAGAGATTTCGTTTACGTTGTGAATTTGAAAGCTTTGATCTCATTAATCAGCAGCCTCTTCCGTTTTTTTTGTATCCCATTCTGCCTCCTCTTCATACTTTCAAAGCTTTCTTCATTGCTCTTACCGTATTGCTCAGCGCTATTGGTCCTCTTTGAATGGATCAAGTTGTGCTCAGTATTTTCAGGCCCTAAATGGCCGAACGTCGCGGAAGGCCACCTAGATTGCCACCGCCCCCAGGTCGGTCATATCATTCTAGTAAAATAATTATTTTTGCTCCTTAACGAAAATGGCGAAGTGAGTCTAACAAACTGAAGTGAAAGGTGCGAGTATAGCACTTAAAGAAGTCGAATAGTTAGGCTTTGCCGAAAGTCATGTCTCATAGGGTTAGTTGCGTGCTTTATAGATGTTTATAGCCCTTGCTATGGATGCATTGCGTGTTTCTCCTTAGTTCACAAGTGCAGTTTTTTTGCATCAGTTGCAATTTTACAGTCTGTTGAAATAGAATTGCTTTTATCGATAGAAGAAGCTGTTGTTTCATAGGCTGCTTATTTACTTTTGTTGAAATTCCCATATTTTCTACAGATGTATTCACAGATTCGCAGTCAGAAAGGCCAACATGGACCGTAACGCGAAGAGAGCGAACGGAACTTTCGCCATTACGGTAAGGTCCTTGCGTAGCGAAGCTGCAGAGCATTAGCGAATTTGTGTGTTCAGGTCAACTTCTCCATTTCAATCAAGAACGGTGACGACCACTGAACGGGTTCAGATATTACAAATGCCTATTACGCTCACAGACGAGCAAATAGCTCCAGCTCGTCTACTAGCGCTTTCACCACACGGGAACACCAGCCAGTCAATGTCGTCTACGGTGACAACAATGCAGGTGCGTTGCTGTCTATCTTTGAAGCTTTTTCGGTTTTCTATGGAACATGTCTTCAACCATAACTGCTCATAATTCTTTTAAAATATCGAACTCCACCGGAATTTCACGATCCGCGTCGCGTCATATATTAGTTCATTATGGGCAAATGAGGGCACCGTTCGAATCAGCTCAGCCAGGTGCCTTCTGTTGTAGAGATTTGTCCGTTCGATCAGAGTAGGCGGTCAGATTTCACGAACCTTTTCGATTTCTGCTTACAGTAGGTTACTCAGTATGCTTATTATTGTGATCAAACATGCATCAAAAGATGAGCGTCGCAGAGCTGAGTTAAACGATGCCCTTGGATTCAGAATCCGACCAATCTAAACCAGGATGTGGCAATGCGACGCGAATTTCGGTGAACTCCGAGGAGTTCATTGATTTTTTTAACAATTATGAGCATCGTGTGTCACGCAAACTTGAGGAATGGAAGGTTGTTTACAGGCTGAAGGAACACCTTTGATTTCCGGTGTCACAGCAGATGGTACACCGCTTTTCAACGGGATCTTAGTATGCCCGGAGGCGAGACATACTACAACTATAATTACCACGACAACCACCACCTACAGAATGATAGAAGTTAGCGATAGCGATTCCTTATCGGACGATTTTGAAATAGTTGACGATAACACGTTGACGGTAGATGTACCCCTTGTTCCTTCTCCAACAACTTCTCCTCAGTACATGATAGTTGGAAAGACCGAATCGGAAGTTCCTCTATCTCCTGTCACCAGGTCGAGAATGCATATTGATCTCGACTTCCCTTCAAGGGCAATAGTCGCAGGTACAGAAACGGAGGAGAAGACTGTAACTGAAACAGTGACAGTAGAGAAACATAGAGAAGTTCTACCAGAAGAGTCACTACTTGAGAGAACTATGGTGTACTATCCGCATGATCAGATCGCTTCCACGAGTGATAGTGAAGCTACAACAAATATACAGAGCAGTATCGAGCTCAAAACAATTAGCACATCTTCAGAAGATGAAGACATTGTTATCGTTGGCACTGACATGGTGGAATTGATTTCGAGTGGAAGTTCGTTTAGCGGGGAAAGAATGGGAAAATTACAGAAGAGCACACCACAGACTGAGTCCTTTGAAGAACAGAGGTCGCCCCTGAGCGAGCTGCCCGAAGATTTCGAAAGGTTGGAAGATACATCTACGCCGACAAAATTCTACGGGTTCCCCTCAACCGCTGCCTATGATGGCCCAATGGAAATCACGTCTCCTACTGAAGATATTAGAGGAGAACCTATAATACACCATGTCAGCGTATACCATAGTGGGCGATCCGACGAGCCACTAATAAAAGAAGAAAAAACGAGCGATACTACGGCTGATATTGCCAGAGCGCTTGGTGATAAAATAATGCATTTGTTTGCAAAACAATCCTTCCCGTATGATTATTTATCCTTGGAACAATATAAAGGCCCCTTGGAAGCTACCAGTCGAAAAGAGGATATCGAGCCTCAACCTATACAAAATGTTGTCTCTCTATATCATGAAGGAAGATCAGATATCAAACAAGAGCCAACCGCAGCTTCACAAGGAGAAACCATATTGCATGTCAAAGATATCTACTACGATGAGCCATCTATTTTGGTTCCCGAGAGCAGATCGGAAACCAGTTTTACTTACTCAGATAAGGAAGGATTTTCTGGTGTTGGCCAAGCTAAAGCAGAGTTTGAAGCAATGCCAGCTCAAAAACACGATGAAGAGAAGCGGCGGTCTTACTACGACGATGGCGCTAAACCATCTATCACTGATGAAAGTGTCAGCGAAACAACCAGAGAAAAGCATTTCATCTCTCATGATGAAAAACCGCTCTTAAGTGGGCTGAGTGCTGAAAAGGTTGAACAAGAGCCAGCAGCACACAGCGTAGATTTTTACCACAACGGACACCCCGACAAGCCCCAAGCATATGAGATTATTGAGAATGAAACAGTATTAAACGTTAAAGACGTTTACTTTGACTATCCTACTATGGCAGCCTACGAAGGACCACTGGAGAGCACAACTCGCGTGACAGACATCGAAGGTGAGCCTCTCACCTATCATGTGAGCGTGTACCACAGTGGCAGATCTGACGAACCGGCACCTAAACCAGAGAAACCCGAAGAAGAGCCACTCGACATCGCTGAAGCAGCCAAGGCTCTCGGTGGAAAGATCAGTGGCTTCTTCAAGAAGGGTCCTGCTCATCTCGACTATCCCGTATCGGAAGTCTACGAGGGACCACTTGACAGCACGAATCGCGTCACTGACATTGAAGGTGAACCACTCACCCACCATGTCACAGTCTACCACAGCGGAAGATCTGATGAGCCAGTGCCGAAGCCAGAAGAAGAGCCCAGAATTGACATCGCTGATGCTGCCAAGACCTTCGGTGACAAGATCACTGGACTGTTCAAGAGAAGACCAACTATTCCTGACTATCCAATATCAGAACCGTACGAAGGTCCACTGGAAGCTACGAACAAACGAGAAGATATCGAATCTCAGCCAATTCACAATATCGTCACTGTGTATCACAGTGGCCGATCCGATATTCCTCAAGAGCCAGTCGCACCACCACCAGCTCCAGTCGAAGTTATTGCAGTTGTTCCTGCAAGAGACATGTACTACGACTATCCTACTACGGCAGCCTACGAAGGACCACTGGAGAGCACAACTCGCGTGACAGACATCGAAGGTGAGCCTCTCACCTATCATGTGAGCGTGTACCACAGTGGCAGATCTGACGAACCGGCACCTAAACCAGAGAAACCCGAAGAAGAGCCACTCGACATCGCTGAAGCAGCCAAGGCTCTCGGTGGAAAGATCAGTGGCTTCTTCAAGAAGGGTCCTGCTCATCTCGACTACCCCGTATCGGAAGTCTACGAAGGACCACTTGACAGCACGAATCGCGTCACTGACATTGAAGGTGAACCACTCACCCACCATGTCACAGTCTACCACAGCGGAAGATCTGATGAGCCGGTGCCGAAGCCAGAAGAAGAGCCCAGAATTGACATCGCTGATGCTGCCAAGACCTTCGGTGACAAGATCACTGGACTGTTCAAGAGAAGACCAACTATTCCTGACTATCCAATATCAGAACCGTACGAAGGTCCACTGGAAGCTACGAACAAACGAGAAGATATCGAATCTCAGCCAATTCACAATATCGTCACTGTGTATCACAGTGGCCGATCCGATATTCCTCAAGAGCCAGTCGCACCACCACCAGCTCCAGTCGAAGTTATTGCAGTTGTTCCTGCAAGAGACATGTACTACGACTATCCTACTACGGCAGCCTACGAAGGACCACTGGAGAGCACAACTCGCGTGACAGACATCGAAGGTGAGCCTCTCACCTATCATGTGAGCGTGTACCACAGTGGCAGATCTGACGAACCGGCACCTAAACCAGAGAAACCCGAAGAAGCACTCGACATCGCTGAAGCAGCCAAGGCTCTCGGTGGAAAGATCAGTGGCTTCTTCAAGAAGGGTCCTGCTCATCTCGACTATCCCGTATCGGAAGTCTACGAGGGACCACTTGACAGCACGAATCGCGTCACTGACATTGAAGGTGAACCACTCACCCACCATGTCACAGTCTACCACAGCGGAAGATCTGATGAGCCAGTGCCGAAGCCAGAAGAAGAGCCCAGAATTGACATCGCTGATGCTGCCAAGACCTTCGGTGACAAGATCACTGGACTGTTCAAGAGAAGACCAACTATTCCTGACTATCCAATATCAGAACCGTACGAAGGTCCACTGGAAGCTACGAACAAACGAGAAGATATCGAATCTCAGCCAATTCACAATATCGTCACTGTGTATCACAGTGGCCGATCCGATATTCCTCAAGAGCCAGTCGCACCACCACCAGCTCCAGTCGAAGTTATTGCAGTTGTTCCTGCAAGAGACATGTACTACGACTATCCTACTACGGCAGCCTACGAAGGACCACTGGAGAGCACAACTCGCGTGACAGACATCGAAGGTGAGCCTCTCACCTATCATGTGAGCGTGTACCACAGTGGCAGATCTGATGAACCGGCACCTAAACCAGAGAAACCCGAAGAAGAGCCACTCGACATCGCTGAAGTAGCCAAGACTCTCGGTGGAAAGATCAGTGGCTTCTTCAAGGAGGGTCCCGCTCATCTCGACTATCCCGTATCGGAAGTCTACGAGGGACCACTTGACAGCACGAATCGCGTCACTGACATTGAAGGTGAACCACTCACCCACCATGTCACAGTCTACCACAGCGGAAGATCTGATGAGCCAGTGCCGAAGCCAGAAGAAGAGCCCAGAATTGACATCGCTGATGCTGCCAAGACCTTCGGTGACAAGATCACTGGACTGTTCAAGAGAAGACCAACTATTCCTGACTATCCAATATCAGAACCGTACGAAGGTCCACTGGAAGCTACGAACAAACGAGAAGATATCGAATCTCAGCCAATTCACAATATCGTCACTGTGTATCACAGTGGCCGATCCGATATTCCTCAAGAGCCAGTCGCACCACCACCAGCTCCAGTCGAAGTTATTGCAGTTGTTCCTGCAAGAGACATGTACTACGACTATCCTACTACGGCAGCCTACGAAGGACCACTGGAGAGCACAACTCGCGTGACAGACATCGAAGGTGAGCCTCTCACCTATCATGTGAGCGTGTACCACAGTGGCAGATCTGACGAACCGGCACCTAAACCAGAGAAACCCGAAGAAGCACTCGACATCGCTGAAGCAGCCAAGGCTCTCGGTGGAAAGATCAGTGGCTTCTTCAAGAAGGGTCCTGCTCATCTCGACTATCCCGTATCGGAAGTCTACGAGGGACCACTTGACAGCACGAATCGCGTCACTGACATTGAAGGTGAACCACTCACCCACCATGTCACAGTCTACCACAGCGGAAGATCTGATGAGCCAGTGCCGAAGCCAGAAGAAGAGCCCAGAATTGACATCGCTGATGCTGCCAAGACCTTCGGTGACAAGATCACTGGACTGTTCAAGAGAAGACCAACTATTCCTGACTATCCAATATCAGAACCGTACGAAGGTCCACTGGAAGCTACGAACAAACGAGAAGATATCGAATCTCAGCCAATTCACAATATCGTCACTGTGTATCACAGTGGCCGATCCGATATTCCTCAAGAGCCAGTCGCACCACCACCAGCTCCAGTCGAAGTTATTGCAGTTGTTCCTGCAAGAGACATGTACTACGACTATCCTACTACGGCAGCCTACGAAGGACCACTGGAGAGCACAACTCGCGTGACAGACATCGAAGGTGAGCCTCTCACCTATCATGTGAGCGTGTACCACAGTGGCAGATCTGACGAACCGGCACCTAAACCAGAGAAACCCGAAGAAGCACTCGACATCGCTGAAGCAGCCAAGGCTCTCGGTGGAAAGATCAGTGGCTTCTTCAAGAAGGGTCCTGCTCATCTCGACTATCCCGTATCGGAAGTCTACGAGGGACCACTTGACAGCACGAATCGCGTCACTGACATTGAAGGTGAACCACTCACCCACCATGTCACAGTCTACCACAGCGGAAGATCTGATGAGCCAGTGCCGAAGCCAGAAGAAGAGCCCAGAATTGACATCGCTGATGCTGCCAAGACCTTCGGTGACAAGATCACTGGACTGTTCAAGAGAAGACCAACTATTCCTGACTATCCAATATCAGAACCGTACGAAGGTCCACTGGAAGCTACGAACAAACGAGAAGATATCGAATCTCAGCCAATTCACAATATCGTCACTGTGTATCACAGTGGCCGATCCGATATTCCTCAAGAGCCAGTCGCACCACCACCAGCTCCAGTCGAAGTTATTGCAGTTGTTCCTGCAAGAGACATGTACTACGACTATCCTACTACGGCAGCCTACGAAGGACCACTGGAGAGCACAACTCGCGTGACAGACATCGAAGGTGAGCCTCTCACCTATCATGTGAGCGTGTACCACAGTGGCAGATCTGATGAACCGGCACCTAAACCAGAGAAACCCGAAGAAGAGCCACTCGACATCGCTGAAGCAGCCAAGGCTCTCGGTGGAAAGATCAGTGGCTTCTTCAAGGAGGGTCCTGCTCATCTCGACTATCCCGTATCGGAAGTCTACGAGGGACCACTTGACAGCACGAATCGCGTCACTGACATTGAAGGTGAACCACTCACCCACCATGTCACAGTCTACCACAGCGGAAGATCTGATGAGCCAGTGCCGAAGCCAGAAGAAGAGCCCAGAATTGACATCGCTGATGCTGCCAAGACCTTCGGTGACAAGATCACTGGACTGTTCAAGAGAAGACCAACTATTCCTGACTATCCAATATCAGAACCGTACGAAGGTCCACTGGAAGCTACGAACAAACGAGAAGATATCGAATCTCAGCCAATTCACAATATCGTCACTGTGTATCACAGTGGCCGATCCGATATTCCTCAAGAGCCAGTCGCACCACCACCAGCTCCAGTCGAAGTTATTGCAGTTGTTCCTGCAAGAGACATGTACTACGACTATCCTACTACGGCAGCCTACGAAGGACCACTGGAGAGCACAACTCGCGTGACAGACATCGAAGGTGAGCCTCTCACCTATCATGTGAGCGTGTACCACAGTGGCAGATCTGACGAACCGGCACCTAAACCAGAGAAACCCGAAGAAGCACTCGACATCGCTGAAGCAGCCAAGGCTCTCGGTGGAAAGATCAGTGGCTTCTTCAAGAAGGGTCCTGCTCATCTCGACTATCCCGTATCGGAAGTCTACGAGGGACCACTTGACAGCACGAATCGCGTCACTGACATTGAAGGTGAACCACTCACCCACCATGTCACAGTCTACCACAGCGGAAGATCTGATGAGCCAGTGCCGAAGCCAGAAGAAGAGCCCAGAATTGACATCGCTGATGCTGCCAAGACCTTCGGTGACAAGATCACTGGACTGTTCAAGAGAAGACCAACTATTCCTGACTATCCAATATCAGAACCGTACGAAGGTCCACTGGAAGCTACGAACAAACGAGAAGATATCGAATCTCAGCCAATTCACAATATCGTCACTGTGTATCACAGTGGCCGATCCGATATTCCTCAAGAGCCAGTCGCACCACCACCAGCTCCAGTCGAAGTTATTGCAGTTGTTCCTGCAAGAGACATGTACTACGACTATCCTACTACGGCAGCCTACGAAGGACCACTGGAGAGCACAACTCGCGTGACAGACATCGAAGGTGAGCCTCTCACCTATCATGTGAGCGTGTACCACAGTGGCAGATCTGATGAACCGGCACCTAAACCAGAGAAACCCGAAGAAGAGCCACTCGACATCGCTGAAGCAGCCAAGGCTCTCGGTGGAAAGATCAGTGGCTTCTTCAAGGAGGGTCCTGCTCATCTCGACTATCCCGTATCGGAAGTCTACGAGGGACCACTTGACAGCACGAATCGCGTCACTGACATTGAAGGTGAACCACTCACCCACCATGTCACAGTCTACCACAGCGGAAGATCTGATGAGCCAGTGCCGAAGCCAGAAGAAGAGCCCAGAATTGACATCGCTGATGCTGCCAAGACCTTCGGTGACAAGATCACTGGACTGTTCAAGAGAAGACCAACTATTCCTGACTATCCAATATCAGAACCGTACGAAGGTCCACTGGAAGCTACGAACAAACGAGAAGATATCGAATCTCAGCCAATTCACAATATCGTCACTGTGTATCACAGTGGCCGATCCGATATTCCTCAAGAGCCAGTCGCACCACCACCAGCTCCAGTCGAAGTTATTGCAGTTGTTCCTGCAAGAGACATGTACTACGACTATCCTACTACGGCAGCCTACGAAGGACCACTGGAGAGCACAACTCGCGTGACAGACATCGAAGGTGAGCCTCTCACCTATCATGTGAGCGTGTACCACAGTGGCAGATCTGATGAACCGGCACCTAAACCAGAGAAACCCGAAGAAGAGCCACTCGACATCGCTGAAGCAGCCAAGGCTCTCGGTGGAAAGATCAGTGGCTTCTTCAAGAAGGGTCCTGCTCATCTCGACTATCCCGTATCGGAAGTCTACGAGGGACCACTTGACAGCACGAATCGCGTCACTGACATTGAAGGTGAACCACTCACCCACCATGTCACAGTCTACCACAGCGGAAGATCTGATGAGCCAGTGCCGAAGCCAGAAGAAGAGCCCAGAATTGACATCGCTGATGCTGCCAAGACCTTCGGTGACAAGATCACTGGACTGTTCAAGAGAAGACCAACTATTCCTGACTATCCAATATCAGAACCGTACGAAGGTCCACTGGAAGCTACGAACAAACGAGAAGATATCGAATCTCAGCCAATTCACAATATCGTCACTGTGTATCACAGTGGCCGATCCGATATTCCTCAAGAGCCAGTCGCACCACCACCAGCTCCAGTCGAAGTTATTGCAGTTGTTCCTGCAAGAGACATGTACTACGACTATCCTACTACGGCAGCCTACGAAGGACCACTGGAGAGCACAACTCGCGTGACAGACATCGAAGGTGAGCCTCTCACCTATCATGTGAGCGTGTACCACAGTGGCAGATCTGATGAACCGGCACCTAAACCAGAGAAACCCGAAGAAGAGCCACTCGACATCGCTGAAGCAGCCAAGGCTCTCGGTGGAAAGATCAGTGGCTTCTTCAAGAAGGGTCCTGCTCATCTCGACTATCCCGTATCGGAAGTCTACGAGGGACCACTTGACAGCACGAATCGCGTCACTGACATTGAAGGTGAACCACTCACCCACCATGTCACAGTCTACCACAGCGGAAGATCTGATGAGCCAGTGCCGAAGCCAGAAGAAGAGCCCAGAATTGACATCGCTGATGCTGCCAAGACCTTCGGTGACAAGATCACTGGACTGTTCAAGAGAAGACCAACTATTCCTGACTATCCAATATCAGAACCGTACGAAGGTCCACTGGAAGCTACGAACAAACGAGAAGATATCGAATCTCAGCCAATTCACAATATCGTCACTGTGTATCACAGTGGCCGATCCGATATTCCTCAAGAGCCAGTCGCACCACCACCAGCTCCAGTCGAAGTTATTGCAGTTGTTCCTGCAAGAGACATGTACTACGACTATCCTACTACGGCAGCCTACGAAGGACCACTGGAAAGCACAACTCGCGTGACAGACATCGAAGGTGAGCCTCTCACCTATCATGTGAGCGTGTACCACAGTGGCAGATCTGATGAACCGGCACCTAAACCAGAGAAACCCGAAGAAGAGCCACTCGACATCGCTGAAGCAGCCAAGGCTCTCGGTGGAAAGATCAGTGGCTTCTTCAAGAAGGGTCCTGCTCATCTCGACTATCCCGTATCGGAAGTCTACGAGGGACCACTTGACAGCACGAATCGCGTCACTGACATTGAAGGTGAACCACTCACCCACCATGTCACAGTCTACCACAGCGGAAGATCTGATGAGCCAGTGCCGAAGCCAGAAGAAGAGCCCAGAATTGACATCGCTGATGCTGCCAAGACCTTCGGTGACAAGATCACTGGACTGTTCAAGAGAAGACCAACTATTCCTGACTATCCAATATCAGAACCGTACGAAGGTCCACTGGAAGCTACGAACAAACGAGAAGATATCGAATCTCAGCCAATTCACAATATCGTCACTGTGTATCACAGTGGCCGATCCGATATTCCTCAAGAGCCAGTCGCACCACCACCAGCTCCAGTCGAAGTTATTGCAGTTGTTCCTGCAAGAGACATGTACTACGACTATCCTACTACGGCAGCCTACGAAGGACCACTGGAAAGCACAACTCGCGTGACAGACATCGAAGGTGAGCCTCTCACCTATCATGTGAGCGTGTACCACAGTGGCAGATCTGATGAACCGGCACCTAAACCAGAGAAACCCGAAGAAGAGCCACTCGACATCGCTGAAGCAGCCAAGGCTCTCGGTGGAAAGATCAGTGGCTTCTTCAAGAAGGGTCCTGCTCATCTCGACTATCCCGTATCGGAAGTCTACGAGGGACCACTTGACAGCACGAATCGCGTCACTGACATTGAAGGTGAACCACTCACCCACCATGTCACAGTCTACCACAGCGGAAGATCTGATGAGCCAGTGCCGAAGCCAGAAGAAGAGCCCAGAATTGACATCGCTGATGCTGCCAAGACCTTCGGTGACAAGATCACTGGACTGTTCAAGAGAAGACCAACTATTCCTGACTATCCAATATCAGAACCGTACGAAGGTCCACTGGAAGCTACGAACAAACGAGAAGATATCGAATCTCAGCCAATTCACAATATCGTCACTGTGTATCACAGTGGCCGATCCGATATTCCTCAAGAGCCAGTCGCACCACCACCAGCTCCAGTCGAAGTTATTGCAGTTGTTCCTGCAAGAGACATGTACTACGACTATCCTACTACGGCAGCCTACGAAGGACCACTGGAGAGCACAACTCGCGTGACAGACATCGAAGGTGAGCCTCTCACCTATCATGTGAGCGTGTACCACAGTGGCAGATCTGATGAACCGGCACCTAAACCAGAGAAACCCGAAGAAGAGCCACTCGACATCGCTGAAGCAGCCAAGGCTCTCGGTGGAAAGATCAGTGGCTTCTTCAAGAAGGGTCCTGCTCATCTCGACTATCCCGTATCGGAAGTCTACGAGGGACCACTTGACAGCACGAATCGCGTCACTGACATTGAAGGTGAACCACTCACCCACCATGTCACAGTCTACCACAGCGGAAGATCTGATGAGCCAGTGCCGAAGCCAGAAGAAGAGCCCAGAATTGACATCGCTGATGCTGCCAAGACCTTCGGTGACAAGATCACTGGACTGTTCAAGAGAAGACCAACTATTCCTGACTATCCAATATCAGAACCGTACGAAGGTCCACTGGAAGCTACGAACAAACGAGAAGATATCGAATCTCAGCCAATTCACAATATCGTCACTGTGTATCACAGTGGCCGATCCGATATTCCTCAAGAGCCAGTCGCACCACCACCAGCTCCAGTCGAAGTTGTTGCAGTTGTTCCTGCAAGAGACATGTACTACGACTATCCTACTACGGCAGCCTACGAAGGACCACTGGAGAGCACAACTCGCGTGACAGACATCGAAGGTGAGCCTCTCACCTATCATGTGAGCGTGTACCACAGTGGCAGATCTGATGAACCGGCACCTAAACCAGAGAAACCCGAAGAAGAGCCACTCGACATCGCTGAAGCAGCCAAGGCTCTCGGTGGAAAGATCAGTGGCTTCTTCAAGAAGGGTCCTGCTCATCTCGACTATCCCGTATCGGAAGTCTACGAGGGACCACTTGACAGCACGAATCGCGTCACTGACATTGAAGGTGAACCACTCACCCACCATGTCACAGTCTACCACAGCGGAAGATCTGATGAGCCAGTGCCGAAGCCAGAAGAAGAGCCCAGAATTGACATCGCTGATGCTGCCAAGACCTTCGGTGACAAGATCACTGGACTGTTCAAGAGGAGACCAACTATTCCTGACTATCCAATATCAGAACCGTACGAAGGTCCACTGGAAGCTACGAACAAACGAGAAGATATCGAATCTCAGCCAATTCACAATATCGTCACTGTGTATCACAGTGGCCGATCCGATATTCCTCAAGAGCCAGTCGCACCACCACCAGCTCCAGTCGAAGTTATTGCAGTTGTTCCTGCAAGAGACATGTACTACGACTATCCTACTACGGCAGCCTACGAAGGACCACTGGAGAGCACAACTCGCGTGACAGACATCGAAGGTGAGCCTCTCACCTATCATGTGAGCGTGTACCACAGTGGCAGATCTGATGAACCGGCACCTAAACCAGAGAAACCCGAAGAAGAGCCACTCGACATCGCTGAAGCAGCCAAGGCTCTCGGTGGAAAGATCAGTGGCTTCTTCAAGAAGGGTCCTGCTCATCTCGACTATCCCGTATCGGAAGTCTACGAGGGATCACTTGACAGCACGAATCGCGTCACTGACATTGAAGGTGAACCACTCACCCACCATGTCACAGTCTACCACAGCGGAAGATCTGATGAGCCAATGCCGAAGCCAGAAGAAGAGCCCAGAATTGACATCGCTGATGCTGCCAAGACCTTCGGTGACAAGATCACTGGACTGTTCAAGAGAAGACCAACTATTCCTGACTATCCAATTTCAGAACCGTACGAAGGTCCACTGGAAGCTACGAACAAACGAGAAGATATCGAATTTCAGCCAATTCACAATATCGTCACTGTGTATCACAGTGGCCGATCCGATATTCCTCAAGAGCCAGTCGCACCACCACCAGCTCCAGTCGAAGTTATTGCAGTTGTTCCTGCAAGAGACATGTACTACGACTATCCTACTACGGCAGCCTACGAAGGACCACTGGAGAGCACAACTCGCGTGACAGACATCGAAGGTGAGCCTCTCACCTATCATGTGAGCGTGTACCACAGTGGCAGATCTGATGAACCGGCACCTAAACCAGAGAAACCCGAAGAAGAGCCACTCGACATCGCTGAAGCAGCCAAGGCTCTCGGTGGAAAGATCAGTGGCTTCTTCAAGAAGGGTCCTGCTCATCTCGACTATCCCGTATCGGAAGTCTACGAGGGACCACTTGACAGCACGAATCGCGTCACTGACATTGAAGGTGAACCACTCACCCACCATGTCACAGTCTACCACAGCGGAAGATCTGATGAGCCAGTGCCGAAGCCAGAAGAAGAGCCCAGAATTGACATCGCTGATGCTGCCAAGACCTTCGGTGACAAGATCACTGGACTGTTCAAGAGAAGACCAACTATTCCTGACTATCCAATATCAGAACCGTGCGAAGGTCCACTGGAAGCTACGAACAAACGAGAAGATATCGAATCTCAGCCAATTCACAATATCGTCACTGTGTATCACAGTGGCCGATCCGATATTCCTCAAGAGCCAGTCGCACCACCACCAGCTCCAGTCGAAGTTATTGCAGTTGTTCCTGCAAGAGACATGTACTACGACTATCCTACTACGGCAGCCTACGAAGGACCACTGGAGAGCACAACTCGCGTGACAGACATCGAAGGTGAGCCTCTCACCTATCATGTGAGCGTGTACCACAGTGGCAGATCTGATGAACCGGCACCTAAACCAGAGAAACCCGAAGAAGAGCCACTCGACATCGCTGAAGCAGCCAAGGCTCTCGGTGGAAAGATCAGTGGCTTCTTCAAGAAGGGTCCTGCTCATCTCGACTATCCCGTATCGGAAGTCTACGAGGGACCACTTGACAGCACGAATCGCGTCACTGACATTGAAGGTGAACCACTCACCCACCATGTCACAGTCTACCACAGCGGAAGATCTGATGAGCCAGTGCCGAAGCCAGAAGAAGAGCCCAGAATTGACATCGCTGATGCTGCCAAGACCTTCGGTGACAAGATCACTGGACTGTTCAAGAGAAGACCAACTATTCCTGACTATCCAATATCAGAACCGTACGAAGGTCCACTGGAAGCTACGAACAAACGAGAAGATATCGAATCTCAGCCAATTCACAATATCGTCACTGTGTATCACAGTGGCCGATCCGATATTCCTCAAGAGCCAGTCGCACCACCACCAGCTCCAGTCGAAGTTATTGCAGTTGTTCCTGCAAGAGACATGTACTACGACTATCCTACTACGGCAGCCTACGAAGGACCACTGGAGAGCACAACTCGCGTGACAGACATCGAAGGTGAGCCTCTCACCTATCATGTGAGCGTGTACCACAGTGGCAGATCTGATGAACCGGCACCTAAACCAGAGAAACCCGAAGAAGAGCCACTCGACATCGCTGAAGCAGCCAAGGCTCTCGGTGGAAAGATCAGTGGCTTCTTCAAGAAGGGTCCTGCTCATCTCGACTATCCCGTATCGGAAGTCTACGAGGGACCACTTGACAGCACGAATCGCGTCACTGACATTGAAGGTGAACCACTCACCCACCATGTCACAGTCTACCACAGCGGAAGATCTGATGAGCCAATGCCGAAGCCAGAAGAAGAGCCCAGAATTGACATCGCTGATGCTGCCAAGACCTTCGGTGACAAGATCACTGGACTGTTCAAGAGAAGACCAACTATTCCTGACTATCCAATTTCAGAACCGTACGAAGGTCCACTGGAAGCTACGAACAAACGAGAAGATATCGAATCTCAGCCAATTCACAATATCGTCACTGTGTATCACAGTGGCCGATCCGATATTCCTCAAGAGCCAGTCGCACCACCACCAGCTCCAGTCGAAGTTATTGCAGTTGTTCCTGCAAGAGACATGTACTACGACTATCCTACTACGGCAGCCTACGAAGGACCACTGGAGAGCACAACTCGCGTGACAGACATCGAAGGTGAGCCTCTCACCTATCATGTGAGCGTGTACCACAGTGGCAGATCTGATGAACCGGCACCTAAACCAGAGAAACCCGAAGAAGAGCCACTCGACATCGCTGAAGCAGCCAAGGCTCTCGGTGGAAAGATCAGTGGCTTCTTCAAGAAGGGTCCTGCTCATCTCGACTATCCCGTATCGGAAGTCTACGAGGGACCACTTGACAGCACGAATCGCGTCACTGACATTGAAGGTGAACCACTCACCCACCATGTCACAGTCTACCACAGCGGAAGATCTGATGAGCCAATGCCGAAGCCAGAAGAAGAGCCCAGAATTGACATCGCTGATGCTGCCAAGACCTTCGGTGACAAGATCACTGGACTGTTCAAGAGAAGACCAACTATTCCTGACTATCCAATTTCAGAACCGTACGAAGGTCCACTGGAAGCTACGAACAAACGAGAAGATATCGAATCTCAGCCAATTCACAATATCGTCACTGTGTATCACAGTGGCCGATCCGATATTCCTCAAGAGCCAGTCGCACCACCACCAGCTCCAGTCGAAGTTATTGCAGTTGTTCCTGCAAGAGACATGTACTACGACTATCCTACTACGGCAGCCTACGAAGGACCACTGGAGAGCACAACTCGCGTGACAGACATCGAAGGTGAGCCTCTCACCTATCATGTGAGCGTGTACCACAGTGGCAGATCTGATGAACCGGCACCTAAACCAGAGAAACCCGAAGAAGAGCCACTCGACATCGCTGAAGCAGCCAAGGCTCTCGGTGGAAAGATCAGTGGCTTCTTCAAGAAGGGTCCTGCTCATCTCGACTATCCCGTATCGGAAGTCTACGAGGGACCACTTGACAGCACGAATCGCGTCACTGACATTGAAGGTGAACCACTCACCCACCATGTCACAGTCTACCACAGCGGAAGATCTGATGAGCCAGTGCCGAAGCCAGAAGAAGAGCCCAGAATTGACATCGCTGATGCTGCCAAGACCTTCGGTGACAAGATCACTGGACTGTTCAAGAGAAGACCAACTATTCCTGACTATCCAATATCAGAACCGTACGAAGGTCCACTGGAAGCTACGAACAAACGAGAAGATATCGAATCTCAGCCAATTCACAATATCGTCACTGTGTATCACAGTGGCCGATCCGATATTCCTCAAGAGCCAGTCGCACCACCACCAGCTCCAGTCGAAGTTATTGCAGTTGTTCCTGCAAGAGACATGTACTACGACTATCCTACTACGGCAGCCTACGAAGGACCACTGGAGAGCACAACTCGCGTGACAGACATCGAAGGTGAGCCTCTCACCTATCATGTGAGCGTGTACCACAGTGGCAGATCTGATGAACCGGCACCTAAACCAGAGAAACCCGAAGAAGAGCCACTCGACATCGCTGAAGCAGCCAAGGCTCTCGGTGGAAAGATCAGTGGCTTCTTCAAGAAGGGTCCTGCTCATCTCGACTATCCCGTATCGGAAGTCTACGAGGGACCACTTGACAGCACGAATCGCGTCACTGACATTGAAGGTGAACCACTCACCCACCATGTCACAGTCTACCACAGCGGAAGATCTGATGAGCCAATGCCGAAGCCAGAAGAAGAGCCCAGAATTGACATCGCTGATGCTGCCAAGACCTTCGGTGACAAGATCACTGGACTGTTCAAGAGAAGACCAACTATTCCTGACTATCCAATTTCAGAACCGTACGAAGGTCCACTGGAAGCTACGAACAAACGAGAAGATATCGAATCTCAGCCAATTCACAATATCGTCACTGTGTATCACAGTGGCCGATCCGATATTCCTCAAGAGCCAGTCGCACCACCACCAGCTCCAGTCGAAGTTATTGCAGTTGTTCCTGCAAGAGACATGTACTACGACTATCCTACTACGGCAGCCTACGAAGGACCACTGGAGAGCACAACTCGCGTGACAGACATCGAAGGTGAGCCTCTCACCTATCATGTGAGCGTGTACCACAGTGGCAGATCTGATGAACCGGCACCTAAACCAGAGAAACCCGAAGAAGAGCCACTCGACATCGCTGAAGCAGCCAAGGCTCTCGGTGGAAAGATCAGTGGCTTCTTCAAGAAGGGTCCTGCTCATCTCGACTATCCCGTATCGGAAGTCTACGAGGGACCACTTGACAGCACGAATCGCGTCACTGACATTGAAGGTGAACCACTCACCCACCATGTCACAGTCTACCACAGCGGAAGATCTGATGAGCCAATGCCGAAGCCAGAAGAAGAGCCCAGAATTGACATCGCTGATGCTGCCAAGACCTTCGGTGACAAGATCACTGGACTGTTCAAGAGAAGACCAACTATTCCTGACTATCCAATTTCAGAACCGTACGAAGGTCCACTGGAAGCTACGAACAAACGAGAAGATATCGAATCTCAGCCAATTCACAATATCGTCACTGTGTATCACAGTGGCCGATCCGATATTCCTCAAGAGCCAGTCGCACCACCACCAGCTCCAGTCGAAGTTATTGCAGTTGTTCCTGCAAGAGACATGTACTACGACTATCCTACTACGGCAGCCTACGAAGGACCACTGGAGAGCACAACTCGCGTGACAGACATCGAAGGTGAGCCTCTCACCTATCATGTGAGCGTGTACCACAGTGGCAGATCTGATGAACCGGCACCTAAACCAGAGAAACCCGAAGAAGAGCCACTCGACATCGCTGAAGCAGCCAAGGCTCTCGGTGGAAAGATCAGTGGCTTCTTCAAGAAGGGTCCTGCTCATCTCGACTATCCCGTATCGGAAGTCTACGAGGGACCACTTGACAGCACGAATCGCGTCACTGACATTGAAGGTGAACCACTCACCCACCATGTCACAGTCTACCACAGCGGAAGATCTGATGAGCCAATGCCGAAGCCAGAAGAAGAGCCCAGAATTGACATCGCTGATGCTGCCAAGACCTTCGGTGACAAGATCACTGGACTGTTCAAGAGAAGACCAACTATTCCTGACTATCCAATTTCAGAACCGTACGAAGGTCCACTGGAAGCTACGAACAAACGAGAAGATATCGAATCTCAGCCAATTCACAATATCGTCACTGTGTATCACAGTGGCCGATCCGATATTTCTCAAGAGCCAGTCGCACCACCACCAGCTCCAGTCGAAGTTATTGCAGTTGTTCCTGCAAGAGACATGTACTACGACTATCCTTCTACGGCAGCCTACGAAGGACCACTGGAGAGCACAACTCGCGTGACAGACATCGAAGGTGAGCCTCTCACCTATCATGTGAGCGTGTACCACAGTGGCAGATCTGATGAACCGGCACCTAAACCAGAGAAACCCGAAGAAGAGCCACTCGACATCGCTGAAGCAGCCAAGGCTCTCGGTGGAAAGATCAGTGGCTTCTTCAAGAAGGGTCCTGCTCATCTCGACTATCCCGTATCGGAAGTCTACGAGGGACCACTTGACAGCACGAATCGCGTCACTGACATTGAAGGTGAAACACTCACCCACCATGTCACAGTCTACCACAGCGGAAGATCTGATGAGCCAATGCCGAAGCCAGAAGAAGAGCCCAGAATTGACATCGCTGATGCTGCCAAGACCTTCGGTGACAAGATCACTGGACTGTTCAAGAGAAGACCAACTATTCCTGACTATCCAATTTCAGAACCGTACGAAGGTCCACTGGAAGCTACGAACAAACGAGAAGATATCGAATCTCAGCCAATTCACAATATCGTCACTGTGTATCACAGTGGCCGATCCGATATTCCTCAAGAGCCAGTCGCACCACCACCAGCTCCAGTCGAAGTTATTGCAGTTGTTCCTGCAAGAGACATGTACTACGACTATCCTTCTACGGCAGCCTACGAAGGACCACTGGAGAGCACAACTCGCGTGACAGACATCGAAGGTGAGCCTCTCACCTATCATGTGAGCGTGTACCACAGTGGCAGATCTGATGAACCGGCACCTAAACCAGAGAAACCCGAAGAAGAGCCACTCGACATCGCTGAAGCAGCCAAGGCTCTCGGTGGAAAGATCAGTGGCTTCTTCAAGAAGGGTCCTGCTCATCTCGACTATCCCGTATCGGAAGTCTACGAGGGACCACTTGACAGCACGAATCGCGTCACTGACATTGAAGGTGAACCACTCACCCACCATGTCACAGTCTACCACAGCGGAAGATCTGATGAGCCAATGCCGAAGCCAGAAGAAGAGCCCAGAATTGACATCGCTGATGCTGCCAAGACCTTCGGTGACAAGATCACTGGACTGTTCAAGAGAAGACCAACTATTCCTGACTATCCAATTTCAGAACCGTACGAAGGTCCACTGGAAGCTACGAACAAACGAGAAGATATCGAATCTCAGCCAATTCACAATATCGTCACTGTGTATCACAGTGGCCGATCCGATATTCCTCAAGAGCCAGTCGCACCACCACCAGCTCCAGTCGAAGTTATTGCAGTTGTTCCTGCAAGAGACATGTACTACGACTATCCTACTACGGCAGCCTACGAAGGACCACTGGAGAGCACAACTCGCGTGACAGACATCGAAGGTGAGCCTCTCACCTATCATGTGAGCGTGTACCACAGTGGCAGATCTGATGAACCGGCACCTAAACCAGAGAAACCCGAAGAAGAGCCACTCGACATCGCTGAAGCAGCCAAGGCTCTCGGTGGAAAGATCAGTGGCTTCTTCAAGAAGGGTCCTGCTCATCTCGACTATCCCGTATCGGAAGTCTACGAGGGACCACTTGACAGCACGAATCGCGTCACTGACATTGAAGGTGAACCACTCACCCACCATGTCACAGTCTACCACAGCGGAAGATCTGATGAGCCAGTGCCGAAGCCAGAAGAAGAGCCCAGAATTGACATCGCTGATGCTGCCAAGACCTTCGGTGACAAGATCACTGGACTGTTCAAGAGAAGACCAACTATTCCTGACTATCCAATATCAGAACCGTGCGAAGGTCCACTGGAAGCTACGAACAAACGAGAAGATATCGAATCTCAGCCAATTCACAATATCGTCACTGTGTATCACAGTGGCCGATCCGATATTCCTCAAGAGCCAGTCGCACCACCACCAGCTCCAGTCGAAGTTATTGCAGTTGTTCCTGCAAGAGACATGTACTACGACTATCCTACTACGGCAGCCTACGAAGGACCACTGGAGAGCACAACTCGCGTGACAGACATCGAAGGTGAGCCTCTCACCTATCATGTGAGCGTGTACCACAGTGGCAGATCTGATGAACCGGCACCTAAACCAGAGAAACCCGAAGAAGAGCCACTCGACATCGCTGAAGCAGCCAAGGCTCTCGGTGGAAAGATCAGTGGCTTCTTCAAGAAGGGTCCTGCTCATCTCGACTATCCCGTATCGGAAGTCTACGAGGGACCACTTGACAGCACGAATCGCGTCACTGACATTGAAGGTGAACCACTCACCCACCATGTCACAGTCTACCACAGCGGAAGATCTGATGAGCCAGTGCCGAAGCCAGAAGAAGAGCCCAGAATTGACATCGCTGATGCTGCCAAGACCTTCGGTGACAAGATCACTGGACTGTTCAAGAGAAGACCAACTATTCCTGACTATCCAATATCAGAACCGTACGAAGGTCCACTGGAAGCTACGAACAAACGAGAAGATATCGAATCTCAGCCAATTCACAATATCGTCACTGTGTATCACAGTGGCCGATCCGATATTCCTCAAGAGCCAGTCGCACCACCACCAGCTCCAGTCGAAGTTGTTGCAGTTGTTCCTGCAAGAGACATGTACTACGACTATCCTACTACGGCAGCCTACGAAGGACCACTGGAGAGCACAACTCGCGTGACAGACATCGAAGGTGAGCCTCTCACCTATCATGTGAGCGTGTACCACAGTGGCAGATCTGATGAACCGGCACCTAAACCAGAGAAACCCGAAGAAGAGCCACTCGACATCGCTGAAGCAGCCAAGGCTCTCGGTGGAAAGATCAGTGGCTTCTTCAAGAAGGGTCCTGCTCATCTCGACTATCCCGTATCGGAAGTCTACGAGGGACCACTTGACAGCACGAATCGCGTCACTGACATTGAAGGTGAACCACTCACCCACCATGTCACAGTCTACCACAGCGGAAGATCTGATGAGCCAGTGCCGAAGCCAGAAGAAGAGCCCAGAATTGACATCGCTGATGCTGCCAAGACCTTCGGTGACAAGATCACTGGACTGTTCAAGAGAAGACCAACTATTCCTGACTATCCAATATCAGAACCGTACGAAGGTCCACTGGAAGCTACGAACAAACGAGAAGATATCGAATCTCAGCCAATTCACAATATCGTCACTGTGTATCACAGTGGCCGATCCGATATTCCTCAAGAGCCAGTCGCACCACCACCAGCTCCAGTCGAAGTTATTGCAGTTGTTCCTGCAAGAGACATGTACTACGACTATCCTACTACGGCAGCCTACGAAGGACCACTGGAGAGCACAACTCGCGTGACAGACATCGAAGGTGAGCCTCTCACCTATCATGTGAGCGTGTACCACAGTGGCAGATCTGATGAACCGGCACCTAAACCAGAGAAACCCGAAGAAGAGCCACTCGACATCGCTGAAGCAGCCAAGGCTCTCGGTGGAAAGATCAGTGGCTTCTTCAAGAAGGGTCCTGCTCATCTCGACTATCCCGTATCGGAAGTCTACGAGGGATCACTTGACAGCACGAATCGCGTCACTGACATTGAAGGTGAACCACTCACCCACCATGTCACAGTCTACCACAGCGGAAGATCTGATGAGCCAATGCCGAAGCCAGAAGAAGAGCCCAGAATTGACATCGCTGATGCTGCCAAGACCTTCGGTGACAAGATCACTGGACTGTTCAAGAGAAGACCAACTATTCCTGACTATCCAATTTCAGAACCGTACGAAGGTCCACTGGAAGCTACGAACAAACGAGAAGATATCGAATTTCAGCCAATTCACAATATCGTCACTGTGTATCACAGTGGCCGATCCGATATTCCTCAAGAGCCAGTCGCACCACCACCAGCTCCAGTCGAAGTTATTGCAGTTGTTCCTGCAAGAGACATGTACTACGACTATCCTACTACGGCAGCCTACGAAGGACCACTGGAGAGCACAACTCGCGTGACAGACATCGAAGGTGAGCCTCTCACCTATCATGTGAGCGTGTACCACAGTGGCAGATCTGATGAACCGGCACCTAAACCAGAGAAACCCGAAGAAGAGCCACTCGACATCGCTGAAGCAGCCAAGGCTCTCGGTGGAAAGATCAGTGGCTTCTTCAAGAAGGGTCCTGCTCATCTCGACTATCCCGTATCGGAAGTCTACGAGGGACCACTTGACAGCACGAATCGCGTCACTGACATTGAAGGTGAACCACTCACCCACCATGTCACAGTCTACCACAGCGGAAGATCTGATGAGCCAGTGCCGAAGCCAGAAGAAGAGCCCAGAATTGACATCGCTGATGCTGCCAAGACCTTCGGTGACAAGATCACTGGACTGTTCAAGAGAAGACCAACTATTCCTGACTATCCAATATCAGAACCGTGCGAAGGTCCACTGGAAGCTACGAACAAACGAGAAGATATCGAATCTCAGCCAATTCACAATATCGTCACTGTGTATCACAGTGGCCGATCCGATATTCCTCAAGAGCCAGTCGCACCACCACCAGCTCCAGTCGAAGTTATTGCAGTTGTTCCTGCAAGAGACATGTACTACGACTATCCTACTACGGCAGCCTACGAAGGACCACTGGAGAGCACAACTCGCGTGACAGACATCGAAGGTGAGCCTCTCACCTATCATGTGAGCGTGTACCACAGTGGCAGATCTGATGAACCGGCACCTAAACCAGAGAAACCCGAAGAAGAGCCACTCGACATCGCTGAAGCAGCCAAGGCTCTCGGTGGAAAGATCAGTGGCTTCTTCAAGAAGGGTCCTGCTCATCTCGACTATCCCGTATCGGAAGTCTACGAGGGACCACTTGACAGCACGAATCGCGTCACTGACATTGAAGGTGAACCACTCACCCACCATGTCACAGTCTACCACAGCGGAAGATCTGATGAGCCAGTGCCGAAGCCAGAAGAAGAGCCCAGAATTGACATCGCTGATGCTGCCAAGACCTTCGGTGACAAGATCACTGGACTGTTCAAGAGAAGACCAACTATTCCTGACTATCCAATATCAGAACCGTACGAAGGTCCACTGGAAGCTACGAACAAACGAGAAGATATCGAATCTCAGCCAATTCACAATATCGTCACTGTGTATCACAGTGGCCGATCCGATATTCCTCAAGAGCCAGTCGCACCACCACCAGCTCCAGTCGAAGTTATTGCAGTTGTTCCTGCAAGAGACATGTACTACGACTATCCTACTACGGCAGCCTACGAAGGACCACTGGAGAGCACAACTCGCGTGACAGACATCGAAGGTGAGCCTCTCACCTATCATGTGAGCGTGTACCACAGTGGCAGATCTGATGAACCGGCACCTAAACCAGAGAAACCCGAAGAAGAGCCACTCGACATCGCTGAAGCAGCCAAGGCTCTCGGTGGAAAGATCAGTGGCTTCTTCAAGAAGGGTCCTGCTCATCTCGACTATCCCGTATCGGAAGTCTACGAGGGACCACTTGACAGCACGAATCGCGTCACTGACATTGAAGGTGAACCACTCACCCACCATGTCACAGTCTACCACAGCGGAAGATCTGATGAGCCAGTGCCGAAGCCAGAAGAAGAGCCCAGAATTGACATCGCTGATGCTGCCAAGACCTTCGGTGACAAGATCACTGGACTGTTCAAGAGAAGACCAACTATTCCTGACTATCCAATATCAGAACCGTACGAAGGTCCACTGGAAGCTACGAACAAACGAGAAGATATCGAATCTCAGCCAATTCACAATATCGTCACTGTGTATCACAGTGGCCGATCCGATATTCCTCAAGAGCCAGTCGCACCACCACCAGCTCCAGTCGAAGTTATTGCAGTTGTTCCTGCAAGAGACATGTACTACGACTATCCTACTACGGCAGCCTACGAAGGACCACTGGAAAGCACAACTCGCGTGACAGACATCGAAGGTGAGCCTCTCACCTATCATGTGAGCGTGTACCACAGTGGCAGATCTGATGAACCGGCACCTAAACCAGAGAAACCCGAAGAAGAGCCACTCGACATCGCTGAAGCAGTCAAGGCTCTCGGTGGAAAGATCAGTGGCTTCTTCAAGAAGGGTCCTGCTCATCTCGACTATCCCGTATCGGAAGTCTACGAGGGACCACTTGACAGCACGAATCGCGTCACTGACATTGAAGGTGAACCACTCACCCACCATGTCACAGTCTACCACAGCGGAAGATCTGATGAGCCAATGCCGAAGCCAGAAGAAGAGCCCAGAATTGACATCGCTGATGCTGCCAAGACCTTCGGTGACAAGATCACTGGACTGTTCAAGAGAAGACCAACTATTCCTGACTATCCAATTTCAGAACCGTACGAAGGTCCACTGGAAGCTACGAACAAACGAGAAGATATCGAATCTCAGCCAATTCACAATATCGTCACTGTGTATCACAGTGGCCGATCCGATATTCCTCAAGAGCCAGTCGCACCACCACCAGCTCCAGTCGAAGTTATTGCAGTTGTTCCTGCAAGAGACATGTACTACGACTATCCTTCTACGGCAGCCTACGAAGGACCACTGGAGAGCACAACTCGCGTGACAGACATCGAAGGTGAGCCTCTCACCTATCATGTGAGCGTGTACCACAGTGGCAGATCTGATGAACCGGCACCTAAACCAGAGAAACCCGAAGAAGAGCCACTCGACATCGCTGAAGCAGCCAAGGCTCTCGGTGGAAAGATCAGTGGCTTCTTCAAGAAGGGTCCTGCTCATCTCGACTATCCCGTATCGGAAGTCTACGAGGGACCACTTGACAGCACGAATCGCGTCACTGACATTGAAGGTGAACCACTCACCCACCATGTCACAGTCTACCACAGCGGAAGATCTGATGAGCCAATGCCGAAGCCAGAAGAAGAGCCCAGAATTGACATCGCTGATGCTGCCAAGACCTTCGGTGACAAGATCACTGGACTGTTCAAGAGAAGACCAACTATTCCTGACTATCCAATTTCAGAACCGTACGAAGGTCCACTGGAAGCTACGAACAAACGAGAAGATATCGAATCTCAGCCAATTCACAATATCGTCACTGTGTATCACAGTGGCCGATCCGATATTCCTCAAGAGCCAGTCGCACCACCACCAGCTCCAGTCGAAGTTATTGCAGTTGTTCCTGCAAGAGACATGTACTACGACTATCCTTCTACGGCAGCCTACGAAGGACCACTGGAGAGCACAACTCGCGTGACAGACATCGAAGGTGAGCCTCTCACCTATCATGTGAGCGTGTACCACAGTGGCAGATCTGATGAACCGGCACCTAAACCAGAGAAACCCGAAGAAGAGCCACTCGACATCGCTGAAGCAGCCAAGGCTCTCGGTGGAAAGATCAGTGGCTTCTTCAAGAAGGGTCCTGCTCATCTCGACTATCCCGTATCGGAAGTCTACGAGGGACCACTTGACAGCACGAATCGCGTCACTGACATTGAAGGTGAACCACTCACCCACCATGTCACAGTCTACCACAGCGGAAGATCTGATGAGCCAATGCCGAAGCCAGAAGAAGAGCCCAGAATTGACATCGCTGATGCTGCCAAGACCTTCGGTGACAAGATCACTGGACTGTTCAAGAGAAGACCAACTATTCCTGACTATCCAATTTCAGAACCGTACGAAGGTCCACTGGAAGCTACGAACAAACGAGAAGATATCGAATCTCAGCCAATTCACAATATCGTCACTGTGTATCACAGTGGCCGATCCGATATTCCTCAAGAGCCAGTCGCACCACCACCAGCTCCAGTCGAAGTTATTGCAGTTGTTCCTGCAAGAGACATGTACTACGACTATCCTTCTACGGCAGCCTACGAAGGACCACTGGAGAGCACAACTCGCGTGACAGACATCGAAGGTGAGCCTCTCACCTATCATGTGAGCGTGTACCACAGTGGCAGATCTGATGAACCGGCACCTAAACCAGAGAAACCCGAAGAAGAGCCACTCGACATCGCTGAAGCAGCCAAGGCTCTCGGTGGAAAGATCAGTGGCTTCTTCAAGAAGGGTCCTGCTCATCTCGACTATCCCGTATCGGAAGTCTACGAGGGACCACTTGACAGCACGAATCGCGTCACTGACATTGAAGGTGAACCACTCACCCACCATGTCACAGTCTACCACAGCGGAAGATCTGATGAGCCAATGCCGAAGCCAGAAGAAGAGCCCAGAATTGACATCGCTGATGCTGCCAAGACCTTCGGTGACAAGATCACTGGACTGTTCAAGAGAAGACCAACTATTCCTGACTATCCAATTTCAGAACCGTACGAAGGTCCACTGGAAGCTACGAACAAACGAGAAGATATCGAATCTCAGCCAATTCACAATATCGTCACTGTGTATCACAGTGGCCGATCCGATATTCCTCAAGAGCCAGTCGCACCACCACCAGCTCCAGTCGAAGTTATTGCAGTTGTTCCTGCAAGAGACATGTACTACGACTATCCTTCTACGGCAGCCTACGAAGGACCACTGGAGAGCACAACTCGCGTGACAGACATCGAAGGTGAGCCTCTCACCTATCATGTGAGCGTGTACCACAGTGGCAGATCTGATGAACCGGCACCTAAACCAGAGAAACCCGAAGAAGAGCCACTCGACATCGCTGAAGCAGCCAAGGCTCTCGGTGGAAAGATCAGTGGCTTCTTCAAGAAGGGTCCTGCTCATCTCGACTATCCCGTATCGGAAGTCTACGAGGGACCACTTGACAGCACGAATCGCGTCACTGACATTGAAGGTGAACCACTCACCCACCATGTCACAGTCTACCACAGCGGAAGATCTGATGAGCCAATGCCGAAGCCAGAAGAAGAGCCCAGAATTGACATCGCTGATGCTGCCAAGACCTTCGGTGACAAGATCACTGGACTGTTCAAGAGAAGACCAACTATTCCTGACTATCCAATTTCAGAACCGTACGAAGGTCCACTGGAAGCTACGAACAAACGAGAAGATATCGAATCTCAGCCAATTCACAATATCGTCACTGTGTATCACAGTGGCCGATCCGATATTCCTCAAGAGCCAGTCGCACCACCACCAGCTCCAGTCGAAGTTATTGCAGTTGTTCCTGCAAGAGACATGTACTACGACTATCCTTCTACGGCAGCCTACGAAGGACCACTGGAGAGCACAACTCGCGTGACAGACATCGAAGGTGAGCCTCTCACCTATCATGTGAGCGTGTACCACAGTGGCAGATCTGATGAACCGGCACCTAAACCAGAGAAACCCGAAGAAGAGCCACTCGACATCGCTGAAGCAGCCAAGGCTCTCGGTGGAAAGATCAGTGGCTTCTTCAAGAAGGGTCCTGCTCATCTCGACTATCCCGTATCGGAAGTCTACGAGGGACCACTTGACAGCACGAATCGCGTCACTGACATTGAAGGTGAACCACTCACCCACCATGTCACAGTCTACCACAGCGGAAGATCTGATGAGCCAATGCCGAAGCCAGAAGAAGAGCCCAGAATTGACATCGCTGATGCTGCCAAGACCTTCGGTGACAAGATCACTGGACTGTTCAAGAGAAGACCAACTATTCCTGACTATCCAATTTCAGAACCGTACGAAGGTCCACTGGAAGCTACGAACAAACGAGAAGATATCGAATCTCAGCCAATTCACAATATCGTCACTGTGTATCACAGTGGCCGATCCGATATTCCTCAAGAGCCAGTCGCACCACCACCAGCTCCAGTCGAAGTTATTGCAGTTGTTCCTGCAAGAGACATGTACTACGACTATCCTTCTACGGCAGCCTACGAAGGACCACTGGAGAGCACAACTCGCGTGACAGACATCGAAGGTGAGCCTCTCACCTATCATGTGAGCGTGTACCACAGTGGCAGATCTGATGAACCGGCACCTAAACCAGAGAAACCCGAAGAAGAGCCACTCGACATCGCTGAAGCAGCCAAGGCTCTCGGTGGAAAGATCAGTGGCTTCTTCAAGAAGGGTCCTGCTCATCTCGACTATCCCGTATCGGAAGTCTACGAGGGACCACTTGACAGCACGAATCGCGTCACTGACATTGAAGGTGAACCACTCACCCACCATGTCACAGTCTACCACAGCGGAAGATCTGATGAGCCAATGCCGAAGCCAGAAGAAGAGCCCAGAATTGACATCGCTGATGCTGCCAAGACCTTCGGTGACAAGATCACTGGACTGTTCAAGAGAAGACCAACTATTCCTGACTATCCAATTTCAGAACCGTACGAAGGTCCACTGGAAGCTACGAACAAACGAGAAGATATCGAATCTCAGCCAATTCACAATATCGTCACTGTGTATCACAGTGGCCGATCCGATATTCCTCAAGAGCCAGTCGCACCACCACCAGCTCCAGTCGAAGTTATTGCAGTTGTTCCTGCAAGAGACATGTACTACGACTATCCTACTACGGCAGCCTACGAAGGACCACTGGAGAGCACAACTCGCGTGACAGACATCGAAGGTGAGCCTCTCACCTATCATGTGAGCGTGTACCACAGTAGCAGATCTGATGAACCGGCACCTAAACCAGAGAAACCCGAAGAAGAGCCACTCGACATCGCTGAAGCAGCCAAGGCTCTCGGTGGAAAGATCAGTGGCTTCTTCAAGAAGGGTCCTGCTCATCTCGACTATCCCGTATCGGAAGTCTACGAGGGACCACTTGACAGCACGAATCGCGTCACTGACATTGAAGGTGAACCACTCACCCACCATGTCACAGTCTACCACAGCGGAAGATCTGATGAGCCAATGCCGAAGCCAGAAGAAGAGCCCAGAATTGACATCGCTGATGCTGCCAAGACCTTCGGTGACAAGATCACTGGACTGTTCAAGAGAAGACCAACTATTCCTGACTATCCAATTTCAGAACCGTACGAAGGTCCACTGGAAGCTACGAACAAACGAGAAGATATCGAATCTCAGCCAATTCACAATATCGTCACTGTGTATCACAGTGGCCGATCCGATATTCCTCAAGAGCCAGTCGCACCACCACCAGCTCCAGTCGAAGTTATTGCAGTTGTTCCTGCAAGAGACATGTACTACGACTATCCTACTACGGCAGCCTACGAAGGACCACTGGAGAGCACAACTCGCGTGACAGACATCGAAGGTGAGCCTCTCACCTATCATGTGAGCGTGTACCACAGTGGCAGATCTGATGAACCGGCACCTAAACCAGAGAAACCCGAAGAAGAGCCACTCGACATCGCTGAAGCAGCCAAGGCTCTCGGTGGAAAGATCAGTGGCTTCTTCAAGAAGGGTCCTGCTCATCTCGACTATCCCGTATCGGAAGTCTACGAGGGACCACTTGACAGCACGAATCGCGTCACTGACATTGAAGGTGAACCACTCACCCACCATGTCACAGTCTACCACAGCGGAAGATCTGATGAGCCAATGCCGAAGCCAGAAGAAGAGCCCAGAATTGACATCGCTGATGCTGCCAAGACCTTCGGTGACAAGATCACTGGACTGTTCAAGAGAAGACCAACTATTCCTGACTATCCAATTTCAGAACCGTACGAAGGTCCACTGGAAGCTACGAACAAACGAGAAGATATCGAATCTCAGCCAATTCACAATATCGTCACTGTGTATCACAGTGGCCGATCCGATATTCCTCAAGAGCCAGTCGCACCACCACCAGCTCCAGTCGAAGTTATTGCAGTTGTTCCTGCAAGAGACATGTACTACGACTATCCTACTACGGCAGCCTACGAAGGACCACTGGAGAGCACAACTCGCGTGACAGACATCGAAGGTGAGCCTCTCACCTATCATGTGAGCGTGTACCACAGTGGCAGATCTGATGAACCGGCACCTAAACCAGAGAAACCCGAAGAAGAGCCACTCGACATCGCTGAAGCAGCCAAGGCTCTCGGTGGAAAGATCAGTGGCTTCTTCAAGAAGGGTCCTGCTCATCTCGACTATCCCGTATCGGAAGTCTACGAGGGACCACTTGACAGCACGAATCGCGTCACTGACATTGAAGGTGAACCACTCACCCACCATGTCACAGTCTACCACAGCGGAAGATCTGATGAGCCAATGCCGAAGCCAGAAGAAGAGCCCAGAATTGACATCGCTGATGCTGCCAAGACCTTCGGTGACAAGATCACTGGACTGTTCAAGAGAAGACCAACTATTCCTGACTATCCAATTTCAGAACCGTACGAAGGTCCACTGGAAGCTACGAACAAACGAGAAGATATCGAATCTCAGCCAATTCACAATATCGTCACTGTGTATCACAGTGGCCGATCCGATATTCCTCAAGAGCCAGTCGCACCACCACCAGCTCCAGTCGAAGTTATTGCAGTTGTTCCTGCAAGAGACATGTACTACGACTATCCTTCTACGGCAGCCTACGAAGGACCACTGGAGAGCACAACTCGCGTGACAGACATCGAAGGTGAGCCTCTCACCTATCATGTGAGCGTGTACCACAGTGGCAGATCTGATGAACCGGCACCTAAACCAGAGAAACCCGAAGAAGAGCCACTCGACATCGCTGAAGCAGCCAAGGCTCTCGGTGGAAAGATCAGTGGCTTCTTCAAGAAGGGTCCTGCTCATCTCGACTATCCCGTATCGGAAGTCTACGAGGGACCACTTGACAGCACGAATCGCGTCACTGACATTGAAGGTGAACCACTCACCCACCATGTCACAGTCTACCACAGCGGAAGATCTGATGAGCCAATGCCGAAGCCAGAAGAAGAGCCCAGAATTGACATCGCTGATGCTGCCAAGACCTTCGGTGACAAGATCACTGGACTGTTCAAGAGAAGACCAACTATTCCTGACTATCCAATTTCAGAACCGTACGAAGGTCCACTGGAAGCTACGAACAAACGAGAAGATATCGAATCTCAGCCAATTCACAATATCGTCACTGTGTATCACAGTGGCCGATCCGATATTCCTCAAGAGCCAGTCGCACCACCACCAGCTCCAGTCGAAGTTATTGCAGTTGTTCCTGCAAGAGACATGTACTACGACTATCCTACTACGGCAGCCTACGAAGGACCACTGGAGAGCACAACTCGCGTGACAGACATCGAAGGTGAGCCTCTCACCTATCATGTGAGCGTGTACCACAGTAGCAGATCTGATGAACCGGCACCTAAACCAGAGAAACCCGAAGAAGAGCCACTCGACATCGCTGAAGCAGCCAAGGCTCTCGGTGGAAAGATCAGTGGCTTCTTCAAGAAGGGTCCTGCTCATCTCGACTATCCCGTATCGGAAGTCTACGAGGGACCACTTGACAGCACGAATCGCGTCACTGACATTGAAGGTGAACCACTCACCCACCATGTCACAGTCTACCACAGCGGAAGATCTGATGAGCCAATGCCGAAGCCAGAAGAAGAGCCCAGAATTGACATCGCTGATGCTGCCAAGACCTTCGGTGACAAGATCACTGGACTGTTCAAGAGAAGACCAACTATTCCTGACTATCCAATTTCAGAACCGTACGAAGGTCCACTGGAAGCTACGAACAAACGAGAAGATATCGAATCTCAGCCAATTCACAATATCGTCACTGTGTATCACAGTGGCCGATCCGATATTCCTCAAGAGCCAGTCGCACCACCACCAGCTCCAGTCGAAGTTATTGCAGTTGTTCCTGCAAGAGACATGTACTACGACTATCCTACTACGGCAGCCTACGAAGGACCACTGGAGAGCACAACTCGCGTGACAGACATCGAAGGTGAGCCTCTCACCTATCATGTGAGCGTGTACCACAGTGGCAGATCTGATGAACCGGCACCTAAACCAGAGAAACCCGAAGAAGAGCCACTCGACATCGCTGAAGCAGCCAAGGCTCTCGGTGGAAAGATCAGTGGCTTCTTCAAGAAGGGTCCTGCTCATCTCGACTATCCCGTATCGGAAGTCTACGAGGGACCACTTGACAGCACGAATCGCGTCACTGACATTGAAGGTGAACCACTCACCCACCATGTCACAGTCTACCACAGCGGAAGATCTGATGAGCCAATGCCGAAGCCAGAAGAAGAGCCCAGAATTGACATCGCTGATGCTGCCAAGACCTTCGGTGACAAGATCACTGGACTGTTCAAGAGAAGACCAACTATTCCTGACTATCCAATTTCAGAACCGTACGAAGGTCCACTGGAAGCTACGAACAAACGAGAAGATATCGAATCTCAGCCAATTCACAATATCGTCACTGTGTATCACAGTGGCCGATCCGATATTCCTCAAGAGCCAGTCGCACCACCACCAGCTCCAGTCGAAGTTATTGCAGTTGTTCCTGCAAGAGACATGTACTACGACTATCCTACTACGGCAGCCTACGAAGGACCACTGGAGAGCACAACTCGCGTGACAGACATCGAAGGTGAGCCTCTCACCTATCATGTGAGCGTGTACCACAGTGGCAGATCTGATGAACCGGCACCTAAACCAGAGAAACCCGAAGAAGAGCCACTCGACATCGCTGAAGCAGCCAAGGCTCTCGGTGGAAAGATCAGTGGCTTCTTCAAGAAGGGTCCTGCTCATCTCGACTATCCCGTATCGGAAGTCTACGAGGGACCACTTGACAGCACGAATCGCGTCACTGACATTGAAGGTGAACCACTCACCCACCATGTCACAGTCTACCACAGCGGAAGATCTGATGAGCCAATGCCGAAGCCAGAAGAAGAGCCCAGAATTGACATCGCTGATGCTGCCAAGACCTTCGGTGACAAGATCACTGGACTGTTCAAGAGAAGACCAACTATTCCTGACTATCCAATTTCAGAACCGTACGAAGGTCCACTGGAAGCTACGAACAAACGAGAAGATATCGAATCTCAGCCAATTCACAATATCGTCACTGTGTATCACAGTGGCCGATCCGATATTCCTCAAGAGCCAGTCGCACCACCACCAGCTCCAGTCGAAGTTATTGCAGTTGTTCCTGCAAGAGACATGTACTACGACTATCCTTCTACGGCAGCCTACGAAGGACCACTGGAGAGCACAACTCGCGTGACAGACATCGAAGGTGAGCCTCTCACCTATCATGTGAGCGTGTACCACAGTGGCAGATCTGATGAACCGGCACCTAAACCAGAGAAACCCGAAGAAGAGCCACTCGACATCGCTGAAGCAGCCAAGGCTCTCGGTGGAAAGATCAGTGGCTTCTTCAAGAAGGGTCCTGCTCATCTCGACTATCCCGTATCGGAAGTCTACGAGGGACCACTTGACAGCACGAATCGCGTCACTGACATTGAAGGTGAACCACTCACCCACCATGTCACAGTCTACCACAGCGGAAGATCTGATGAGCCAATGCCGAAGCCAGAAGAAGAGCCCAGAATTGACATCGCTGATGCTGCCAAGACCTTCGGTGACAAGATCACTGGACTGTTCAAGAGAAGACCAACTATTCCTGACTATCCAATTTCAGAACCGTACGAAGGTCCACTGGAAGCTACGAACAAACGAGAAGATATCGAATCTCAGCCAATTCACAATATCGTCACTGTGTATCACAGTGGCCGATCCGATATTCCTCAAGAGCCAGTCGCACCACCACCAGCTCCAGTCGAAGTTATTGCAGTTGTTCCTGCAAGAGACATGTACTACGACTATCCTACTACGGCAGCCTACGAAGGACCACTGGAGAGCACAACTCGCGTGACAGACATCGAAGGTGAGCCTCTCACCTATCATGTGAGCGTGTACCACAGTGGCAGATCTGATGAACCGGCACCTAAACCAGAGAAACCCGAAGAAGAGCCACTCGACATCGCTGAAGCAGCCAAGGCTCTCGGTGGAAAGATCAGTGGCTTCTTCAAGAAGGGTCCTGCTCATCTCGACTATCCCGTATCGGAAGTCTACGAGGGACCACTTGACAGCACGAATCGCGTCACTGACATTGAAGGTGAACCACTCACCCACCATGTCACAGTCTACCACAGCGGAAGATCTGATGAGCCAATGCCGAAGCCAGAAGAAGAGCCCAGAATTGACATCGCTGATGCTGCCAAGACCTTCGGTGACAAGATCACTGGACTGTTCAAGAGAAGACCAACTATTCCTGACTATCCAATTTCAGAACCGTACGAAGGTCCACTGGAAGCTACGAACAAACGAGAAGATATCGAATCTCAGCCAATTCACAATATCGTCACTGTGTATCACAGTGGCCGATCCGATATTCCTCAAGAGCCAGTCGCACCACCACCAGCTCCAGTCGAAGTTATTGCAGTTGTTCCTGCAAGAGACATGTACTACGACTATCCTACTACGGCAGCCTACGAAGGACCACTGGAGAGCACAACTCGCGTGACAGACATCGAAGGTGAGCCTCTCACCTATCATGTGAGCGTGTACCACAGTGGCAGATCTGATGAACCGGCACCTAAACCAGAGAAACCCGAAGAAGAGCCACTCGACATCGCTGAAGCAGCCAAGGCTCTCGGTGGAAAGATCAGTGGCTTCTTCAAGAAGGGTCCTGCTCATCTCGACTATCCCGTATCGGAAGTCTACGAGGGACCACTTGACAGCACGAATCGCGTCACTGACATTGAAGGTGAACCACTCACCCACCATGTCACAGTCTACCACAGCGGAAGATCTGATGAGCCAATGCCGAAGCCAGAAGAAGAGCCCAGAATTGACATCGCTGATGCTGCCAAGACCTTCGGTGACAAGATCACTGGACTGTTCAAAAGAAGACCAACTATTCCTGACTATCCAATTTCAGAACCGTACGAAGGTCCACTGGAAGCTACGAACAAACGAGAAGATATCGAATCTCAGCCAATTCACAATATCGTCACTGTGTATCACAGTGGCCGATCCGATATTCCTCAAGAGCCAGTCGCACCACCACCAGCTCCAGTCGAAGTTATTGCAGTTGTTCCTGCAAGAGACATGTACTACGACTATCCTACTACGGCAGCCTACGAAGGACCACTGGAGAGCACAACTCGCGTGACAGACATCGAAGGTGAGCCTCTCACCTATCATGTGAGCGTGTACCACAGTGGCAGATCTGATGAACCGGCACCTAAACCAGAGAAACCCGAAGAAGAGCCACTCGACATCGCTGAAGCAGCCAAGGCTCTCGGTGGAAAGATCAGTGGCTTCTTCAAGAAGGGTCCTGCTCATCTCGACTATCCCGTATCGGAAGTCTACGAGGGACCACTTGACAGCACGAATCGCGTCACTGACATTGAAGGTGAACCACTCACCCACCATGTCACAGTCTACCACAGCGGAAGATCTGATGAGCCAATGCCGAAGCCAGAAGAAGAGCCCAGAATTGACATCGCTGATGCTGCCAAGACCTTCGGTGACAAGATCACTGGACTGTTCAAAAGAAGACCAACTATTCCTGACTATCCAATTTCAGAACCGTACGAAGGTCCACTGGAAGCTACGAACAAACGAGAAGATATCGAATCTCAGCCAATTCACAATATCGTCACTGTGTATCACAGTGGCCGATCCGATATTCCTCAAGAGCCAGTCGCACCACCACCAGCTCCAGTCGAAGTTATTGCAGTTGTTCCTGCAAGAGACATGTACTACGACTATCCTACTACGGCAGCCTACGAAGGACCACTGGAGAGCACAACTCGCGTGACAGACATCGAAGGTGAGCCTCTCACCTATCATGTGAGCGTGTACCACAGTGGCAGATCTGATGAACCGGCACCTAAACCAGAGAAACCCGAAGAAGAGCCACTCGACATCGCTGAAGCAGCCAAGGCTCTCGGTGGAAAGATCAGTGGCTTCTTCAAGAAGGGTCCTGCTCATCTCGACTATCCCGTATCGGAAGTCTACGAGGGACCACTTGACAGCACGAATCGCGTCACTGACATTGAAGGTGAACCACTCACCCACCATGTCACAGTCTACCACAGCGGAAGATCTGATGAGCCAATGCCGAAGCCAGAAGAAGAGCCCAGAATTGACATCGCTGATGCTGCCAAGACCTTCGGTGACAAGATCACTGGACTGTTCAAAAGAAGACCAACTATTCCTGACTATCCAATTTCAGAACCGTACGAAGGTCCACTGGAAGCTACGAACAAACGAGAAGATATCGAATCTCAGCCAATTCACAATATCGTCACTGTGTATCACAGTGGCCGATCCGATATTCCTCAAGAGCCAGTCGCACCACCACCAGCTCCAGTCGAAGTTATTGCAGTTGTTCCTGCAAGAGACATGTACTACGACTATCCTACTACGGCAGCCTACGAAGGACCACTGGAGAGCACAACTCGCGTGACAGACATCGAAGGTGAGCCTCTCACCTATCATGTGAGCGTGTACCACAGTGGCAGATCTGATGAACCGGCACCTAAACCAGAGAAACCCGAAGAAGAGCCACTCGACATCGCTGAAGCAGCCAAGGCTCTCGGTGGAAAGATCAGTGGCTTCTTCAAGAAGGGTCCTGCTCATCTCGACTATCCCGTATCGGAAGTCTACGAGGGACCACTTGACAGCACGAATCACGTCACTGACATTGAAGGTGAACCACTCACCCACCATGTCACAGTCTACCACAGCGGAAGATCTGATGAGCCAATGCCGAAGCCAGAAGAAGAGCCCAGAATTGACATCGCTGATGCTGCCAAGACCTTCGGTGACAAGATCACTGGACTGTTCAAAAGAAGACCAACTATTCCTGACTATCCAATTTCAGAACCGTACGAAGGTCCACTGGAAGCTACGAACAAACGAGAAGATATCGAATCTCAGCCAATTCACAATATCGTCACTGTGTATCACAGTGGCCGATCCGATATTCCTCAAGAGCCAGTCGCACCACCACCAGCTCCAGTCGAAGTTATTGCAGTTGTTCCTGCAAGAGACATGTACTACGACTATCCTACTACGGCAGCCTACGAAGGACCACTGGAGAGCACAACTCGCGTGACAGACATCGAAGGTGAGCCTCTCACCTATCATGTGAGCGTGTACCACAGTGGCAGATCTGATGAACCGGCACCTAAACCAGAGAAACCCGAAGAAGAGCCACTCGACATCGCTGAAGCAGCCAAGGCTCTCGGTGGAAAGATCAGTGGCTTCTTCAAGAAGGGTCCTGCTCATCTCGACTATCCCGTATCGGAAGTCTACGAGGGACCACTTGACAGCACGAATCACGTCACTGACATTGAAGGTGAACCACTCACCCACCATGTCACAGTCTACCACAGCGGAAGATCTGATGAGCCAATGCCGAAGCCAGAAGAAGAGCCCAGAATTGACATCGCTGATGCTGCCAAGACCTTCGGTGACAAGATCACTGGACTGTTCAAGAGAAGACCAACTATTCCTGACTATCCAATTTCAGAACCGTACGAAGGTCCACTGGAAGCTACGAACAAACGAGAAGATATCGAATCTCAGCCAATTCGCAATATCGTCACTGTGTATCACAGTGGCCGATCCGATATTCCTCAAGAGCCAGTCGCACCACCACCAGCTCCAGTCGAAGTTATTGCAGTTGTTCCTGCAAGAGACATGTACTACGACTATCCTACTACGGCAGCCTACGAAGGACCACTGGAGAGCACAACTCGCGTGACAGACATCGAAGGTGAGCCTCTCACCTATCATGTGAGCGTGTACCACAGTGGCAGATCTGATGAACCGGCACCTAAACCAGAGAAACCCGAAGAAGAGCCACTCGACATCGCTGAAGCAGCCAAGGCTCTCGGTGGAAAGATCAGTGGCTTCTTCAAGAAGGGTCCTGCTCATCTCGACTATCCCGTATCGGAAGTCTACGAGGGACCACTTGACAGCACGAATCGCGTCACTGACATTGAAGGTGAACCACTCACCCACCATGTCACAGTCTACCACAGCGGAAGATCTGATGAGCCAATGCCGAAGCCAGAAGAAGAGCCCAGAATTGACATCGCTGATGCTGCCAAGACCTTCGGTGACAAGATCACTGGACTGTTCAAAAGAAGACCAACTATTCCTGACTATCCAATTTCAGAACCGTACGAAGGTCCACTGGAAGCTACGAACAAACGAGAAGATATCGAATCTCAGCCAATTCACAATATCGTCACTGTGTATCACAGTGGCCGATCCGATATTCCTCAAGAGCCAGTCGCACCACCACCAGCTCCAGTCGAAGTTATTGCAGTTGTTCCTGCAAGAGACATGTACTACGACTATCCTACTACGGCAGCCTACGAAGGACCACTGGAGAGCACAACTCGCGTGACAGACATCGAAGGTGAGCCTCTCACCTATCATGTGAGCGTGTACCACAGTGGCAGATCTGATGAACCGGCACCTAAACCAGAGAAACCCGAAGAAGAGCCACTCGACATCGCTGAAGCAGCCAAGGCTCTCGGTGGAAAGATCAGTGGCTTCTTCAAGAAGGGTCCTGCTCATCTCGACTATCCCGTATCGGAATTCTACGAGGGACCACTTGACAGCACGAATCACGTCACTGACATTGAAGGTGAACCACTCACCCACCATGTCACAGTCTACCACAGCGGAAGATCTGATGAGCCAATGCCGAAGCCAGAAGAAGAGCCCAGAATTGACATCGCTGATGCTGCCAAGACCTTCGGTGACAAGATCACTGGACTGTTCAAGAGAAGACCAACTATTCCTGACTATCCAATTTCAGAACCGTACGAAGGTCCACTGGAAGCTACGAACAAACGAGAAGATATCGAATCTCAGCCAATTCGCAATATCGTCACTGTGTATCACAGTGGCCGATCCGATATTCCTCAAGAGCCAGTCGCACCACCACCAGCTCCAGTCGAAGTTATTGCAGTTGTTCCTGCAAGAGACATGTACTACGACTATCCTACTACGGCAGCCTACGAAGGACCACTGGAGAGCACAACTCGCGTGACAGACATCGAAGGTGAGCCTCTCACCTATCATGTGAGCGTGTACCACAGTGGCAGATCTGATGAACCGGCACCTAAACCAGAGAAACCCGAAGAAGAGCCACTCGACATCGCTGAAGCAGCCAAGGCTCTCGGTGGAAAGATCAGTGGATTCTTCAAGAAGGGTCCTGCTCATCTCGACTATCCCGTATCGGAAGTCTACGAGGGACCACTTGACAGCACGAATCGCGTCACTGACATTGAAGGTGAACCACTCACCCACCATGTCACAGTCTACCACAGCGGAAGATCTGATGAGCCAGTGCCGAAGCCAGAAGAAGAGCCCAGAATTGACATCGCTGATGCTGCCAAGACCTTCGGTGACAAGATCACTGGACTGTTCAAGAGAAGACCAACTATTCCTGACTATCCAATATCAGAACCGTACAAAGGTCCACTGGAAGCTACGAACAAACGAGAAGATATCGAATCTCAGCCAATTCACAATATAGTCACTGTGTATCACAGTGGCCGATCCGATATTCCTCAAGAGCCAGTCGCACCACCACCAGCTCCAGTCGAAGTTATTGCAGTTGTTCCTGCAAGAGACATGTACTACGACTATCCTACTACGGCAGCCTACGAAGGACCACTGGAGAGCACAACTCGCGTGACAGACATCGAAGGTGAGCCTCTCACCTATTATGTGAGCGTGTACCACAGTGGCAGATCTGACGAACCGGCACCTAAACCAGAGAAACCCGAAGAAGAGCCACTCGACATCGCTGAAGCAGCCAAGGCTCTCGGTGGAAAGATCAGTGGCTTCTTCAAGAAGGGTCCTGCTCATCTCGACTATCCCGTATCGGAAGTCTACGAGGGACCACTTGACAGCACGAATCGCGTCACTGACATTGAAGGTGAACCACTCACCCACCATGTCACAGTCTACCACAGCGGAAGATCTGATGAGCCAGTGCCGAAGCCAGAAGAAGAGCCCAGAATTGACATCGCTGATGCTGCCAAGACCTTCGGTGACAAGATCACTGGACTGTTCAAGAGAAGACCAACTATTCCTGACTATCCAATTTCAGAACCGTACGAAGGTCCACTGGAAGCTACGAACAAACGAGAAGATATCGAATCTCAGCCAATTCACAATATCGTCACTGTGTATCACAGTGGCCGATCCGATATTCCTCAAGAGCCAGTCGCACCACCACCAGCTCCAGTCGAAGTTATTGCAGTTGTTCCTGCAAGAGACATGTACTACGACTATCCTACTACGGCAGCCTACGAAGGACCACTGGAGAGCACAACTCGCGTGACAGACATCGAAGGTGAGCCTCTCACCTATCATGTGAGCGTGTACCACAGTGGCAGATCTGATGAACCGGCACCTAAACCAGAGAAACCCGAAGAAGAGCCACTCGACATCGCTGAAGCAGCCAAGGCTCTCGGTGGAAAGATCAGTGGCTTCTTCAAGAAGGGTCCTGCTCATCTCGACTATCCCGTATCGGAAGTCTACGAGGGACCACTTGACAGCACGAATCACGTCACTGACATTGAAGGTGAACCACTCACCCACCATGTCACAGTCTACCACAGCGGAAGATCTGATGAGCCAATGCCGAAGCCAGAAGAAGAGCCCAGAATTGACATCGCTGATGCTGCCAAGACCTTCGGTGACAAGATCACTGGACTGTTCAAGAGAAGACCAACTATTCCTGACTATCCAATTTCAGAACCGTACGAAGGTCCACTGGAAGCTACGAACAAACGAGAAGATATCGAATCTCAGCCAATTCGCAATATCGTCACTGTGTATCACAGTGGCCGATCCGATATTCCTCAAGAGCCAGTCGCACCACCACCAGCTCCAGTCGAAGTTATTGCAGTTGTTCCTGCAAGAGACATGTACTACGACTATCCTACTACGGCAGCCTACGAAGGACCACTGGAGAGCACAACTCGCGTGACAGACATCGAAGGTGAGCCTCTCACCTATCATGTGAGCGTGTACCACAGTGGCAGATCTGATGAACCGGCACCTAAACCAGAGAAACCCGAAGAAGAGCCACTCGACATCGCTGAAGCAGCCAAGGCTCTCGGTGGAAAGATCAGTGGCTTCTTCAAGAAGGGTCCTGCTCATCTCGACTATCCCGTATCGGAAGTCTACGAGGGACCACTTGACAGCACGAATCACGTCACTGACATTGAAGGTGAACCACTCACCCACCATGTCACAGTCTACCACAGCGGAAGATCTGATGAGCCAATGCCGAAGCCAGAAGAAGAGCCCAGAATTGACATCGCTGATGCTGCCAAGACCTTCGGTGACAAGATCACTGGACTGTTCAAGAGAAGACCAACTATTCCTGACTATCCAATTTCAGAACCGTACGAAGGTCCACTGGAAGCTACGAACAAACGAGAAGATATCGAATCTCAGCCAATTCACAATATCGTCACTGTGTATCACAGTGGCCGATCCGATATTCCTCAAGAGCCAGTCGCACCACCACCAGCTCCAGTCGAAGTTATTGCAGTTGTTCCTGCAAGAGACATGTACTACGACTATCCTACTACGGCAGCCTACGAAGGACCACTGGAGAGCACAACTCGCGTGACAGACATCGAAGGTGAGCCTCTCACCTATCATGTGAGCGTGTACCACAGTGGCAGATCTGATGAACCGGCACCTAAACCAGAGAAACCCGAAGAAGAGCCACTCGACATCGCTGAAGCAGCCAAGGCTCTCGGTGGAAAGATCAGTGGCTTCTTCAAGAAGGGTCCTGCTCATCTCGACTATCCCGTATCGGAAGTCTACGAGGGACCACTTGACAGCACGAATCGCGTCACTGACATTGAAGGTGAACCACTCACCCACCATGTCAAAGTCTACCACAGCGGAAGATCTGATGAGCCAATGCCGAAGCCAGAAGAAGAGCCCAGAATTGACATCGCTGATGCTGCCAAGACCTTCGGTGACAAGATCACTGGACTGTTCAAGAGAAGACCAACTATTCCTGACTATCCAATTTCAGAACCGTACGAAGGTCCACTGGAAGCTACGAACAAACGAGAAGATATCGAATCTCAGCCAATTCGCAATATCGTCACTGTGTATCACAGTGGCCGATCCGATATTCCTCAAGAGCCAGTCGCACCACCACCAGCTCCAGTCGAAGTTATTGCAATTGTTCCTGCAAGAGACATGTACTACGACTATCCTACAACGGCAGCCTACGAAGGACCACTGGAGAGCACAACTCGCGTGACAGACATCGAAGGTGAGCCTCTCACCTATCATGTGAGCGTGTACCACAGTGGCAGATCTGATGAACCGGCACCTAAACCAGAGAAACCCGAAGAAGAGCCACTCGACATCGCTGAAGCAGCCAAGGCTCTCGGTGGAAAGATCAGTGGCTTCTTCAAGAAGGGTCCTGCTCATCTCGACTATCCCGTATCGGAAGTCTACGAGGGACCACTTGACAGCACGAATCACGTCACTGACATTGAAGGTGAACCACTCACCCACCATGTCACAGTCTACCACAGCGGAAGATCTGATGAGCCAATGCCGAAGCCAGAAGAAGAGCCCAGAATTGACATCGCTGATGCTGCCAAGACCTTCGGTGACAAGATCACTGGACTGTTCAAGAGAAGACCAACTATTCCTGACTATCCAATTTCAGAACCGTACGAAGGTCCACTGGAAGCTACGAACAAACGAGAAGATATCGAATCTCAGCCAATTCACAATATCGTCACTGTGTATCACAGTGGCCGATCCGATATTCCTCAAGAGCCAGTCGCACCACCACCAGCTCCAGTCGAAGTTATTGCAGTTGTTCCTGCAAGAGACATGTACTACGACTATCCTACTACGGCAGCCTACGAAGGACCACTGGAGAGCACAACTCGCGTGACAGACATCGAAGGTGAGCCTCTCACCTATCATGTGAGCGTGTACCACAGTGGCAGATCTGATGAACCGGCACCTAAACCAGAGAAACCCGAAGAAGAGCCACTCGACATCGCTGAAGCAGCCAAGGCTCTCGGTGGAAAGATCAGTGGCTTCTTCAAGAAGGGTCCTGCTCATCTCGACTATCCCGTATCGGAAGTCTACGAGGGACCACTTGACAGCACGAATCGCGTCACTGACATTGAAGGTGAACCACTCACCCACCATGTCACAGTCTACCACAGCGGAAGATCTGATGAGCCAATGCCGAAGCCAGAAGAAGAGCCCAGAATTGACATCGCTGATGCTGCCAAGACCTTCGGTGACAAGATCACTGGACTGTTCAAGAGAAGACCAACTATTCCTGACTATCCAATATCAGAACCGTACGAAGGTCCACTGGAAGCTACGAACAAACGAGAAGATATCGAATCTCAGCCAATTCACAATATCGTCACTGTGTATCACAGTGGCCGATCCGATATTCCTCAAGAGCCAGTCGCACCACCACCAGCTCCAGTCGAAGTTATTGCAGTTGTTCCTGCAAGAGACATGTACTACGACTATCCTACTACGGCAGCCTACGAAGGACCACTGGAGAGCACAACTCGCGTGACAGACATCGAAGGTGAGCCTCTCACCTATCATGTGAGCGTGTACCACAGTGGCAGATCTGACGAACCGGCACCTAAACCAGAGAAACCCGAAGAAGAGCCACTCGACATCGCTGAAGCAGCCAAGGCTCTCGGTGGAAAGATCAGTGGCTTTTTCAAGAAGGGTCCTGCTCATCTCGACTATCCCGTATCGGAAGTCTACGAGGGACCACTTGACAGCACGAATCGCGTCACTGACATTGAAGGTGAACCACTCACCCACCATGTCACAGTCTACCACAGCGGAAGATCTGATGAGCCAGTGCCGAAGCCAGAAGAAGAGCCCAGAATTGACATCGCTGATGCTGCCAAGACCTTCGGTGACAAGATCACTGGACTGTTCAAGAGAAGACCAACTATTCCTGACTATCCAATATCAGAACCGTACGAAGGTCCACTGGAAGCTACGAACAAACGAGAAGATATCGAATCTCAGCCAATTCACAATATCGTCACTGTGTATCACAGTGGCCGATCCGATATTCCTCAAGAGCCAGTCGCACCACCACCAGCTCCAGTCGAAGTTATTGCAGTTGTTCCTGCAAGAGACATGTACTACGACTATCCTACTACGGCAGCCTACGAAGGACCACTGGAGAGCACAACTCGCGTGACAGACATCGAAGGTGAGCCTCTCACCTATCATGTGAGCGTGTACCACAGTGGCAGATCTGATGAACCGGCACCTAAACCAGAGAAACTCGAAGAGGAGCCACTCGACATCGCTGAAGCAGCCAAGGCTCTCGGTGGAAAGATCAGTGGCTTCTTCAAGAAGGGTCCTGCTCATCTCGATTATCCCGTATCGGAAGTCTACGAGGGACCACTTGACAGCACGAATCGCGTCACTGACATTGAAGGTGAACCACTCACCCACCATGTCACAGTCTACCACAGCGGAAGATCTGATGAGCCAATGCCGAAGCCAGAAGAAGAGCCCAGAATTGACATCGCTGATGCTGCCAAGACCTTCGGTGATAAGATCACTGGACTGTTCAAGAGAAGACCAACTATTCCTGACTATCCAATATCAGAACCGTATGAAGGTCCACTGGAAGCTACGAACAAACGAGAAGATATCGAATCTCAGCCAATTCACAATATCGTCACTGTGTATCACAGTGGCCGATCCGATATTCCTCAAGAGCCAGTCGCACCACCACCAGCTCCAGTCGAAGTTATTGCAGTTGTTCCTGCAAGAGACATGTACTACGACTATCCTACTACGGCAGCCTACGAAGGACCACTGGAGAGCACAACTCGCGTGACAGACATCGAAGGTGAGCCTCTCACCTATCATGTGAGCGTGTACCGCAGTGGCAGATCTGACGAACCGGCACCTAAACCAGAGAAACCCGAAGAAGAGCCACTCGACATCGCTGAAGCAGCCAAGGCTCTCGGTGGAAAGATCAGTGGCTTCTTCAAGAAGGGTCCTGCTCATCTCGACTATCCCGTATCGGAAGTCTACGAGGGACCACTTGACAGCACGAATCGCGTCACTGACATTGAAGGTGAACCACTCACCCACCATGTCACAGTCTACCACAGCGGAAGATCTGATGAGCCAATGCCGAAGCCAGAAGAAGAGCCCAGAATTGACATCGCTGATGCTGCCAAGACCTTCGGTGATAAGATCACTGGACTGTTCAAGAGAAGACCAACTATTCCTGACTATCCAATATCAGAACCGTATGAAGGTCCACTGGAAGCTACGAACAAACGAGAAGATATCGAATCTCAGCCAATTCACAATATCGTCACTGTGTATCACAGTGGCCGATCCGATATTCCTCAAGAGCCAGTCGCACCACCACCAGCTCCAGTCGAAGTTATTGCAGTTGTTCCTGCAAGAGACATGTACTACGACTATCCTACTACGGCAGCCTACGAAGGACCACTGGAGAGCACAACTCGCGTGACAGACATCGAAGGTGAGCCTCTCACCTATCATGTGAGCGTGTACCACAGTGGCAGATCTGACGAACCGGCACCTAAACCAGAGAAACCCGAAGAAGAGCCACTCGACATCGCTGAAGCAGCCAAGGCTCTCGGTGGAAAGATCAGTGGCTTCTTCAAGAAGGGTCCTGCTCATCTCGACTATCCCGTATCGGAAGTCTACGAGGGACCACTTGACAGCACGAATCGCGTCACTGACATTGAAGGTGAACCACTCACCCACCATGTCACAGTCTACCACAGCGGAAGATCTGATGAGCCAGTGCCGAAGCCAGAAGAAGAGCCCAGAATTGACATCGCTGATGCTGCCAAGACCTTCGGTGACAAGATCACTGGACTGTTCAAGAGAAGACCAACTATTCCTGACTATCCAATTTCAGAACCGTACGAAGGTCCACTGGAAGCTACGAACAAACGAGAAGATATCGAATCTCAGCCAATTCACAATATCGTCACTGTGTATCACAGTGGCCGATCCGATATTCCTCAAGAGCCAGTCGCACCACCACCAGCTCCAGTCGAAGTTATTGCAGTTGTTCCTGCAAGAGACATGTACTACGACTATCTTACTACGGCAGCCTACGAAGGACCACTGGAGAGCACAACTCGCGTGACAGACATCGAAGGTGAGCCTCTCACCTATCATGTGAGCGTGTACCACAGTGGCAGATCTGATGAACCGGCACCTAAACCAGAGAAACCCGAAGAAGAGCCACTCGACATCGCTGAAGCAGCCAAGGCTCTCGGTGGAAAGATCAGTGGATTCTTCAAGAAGGGTCCTGCTCATCTCGACTATCCCGTATCGGAAGTCTACGAGGGACCACTTGACAGCACGAATCGCGTCACTGACATTGAAGGTGAACCACTCACCCACCATGTCACAGTCTACCACAGCGGAAGATCTGATGAGCCAGTGCCGAAGCCAGAAGAAGAGCCCAGAATTGACATCGCTGATGCTGCCAAGACCTTCGGTGACAAGATCACTGGACTGTTCAAGAGAAGACCAACTATTCCTGACTATCCAATATCAGAACCGTACAAAGGTCCACTGGAAGCTACGAACAAACGAGAAGATATCGAATCTCAGCCAATTCACAATATAGTCACTGTGTATCACAGTGGCCGATCCGATATTCCTCAAGAGCCAGTCGCACCACCACCAGCTCCAGTCGAAGTTATTGCAGTTGTTCCTGCAAGAGACATGTACTACGACTATCCTACTACGGCAGCCTACGAAGGACCACTGGAGAGCACAACTCGCGTGACAGACATCGAAGGTGAGCCTCTCACCTATTATGTGAGCGTGTACCACAGTGGCAGATCTGACGAACCGGCACCTAAACCAGAGAAACCCGAAGAAGAGCCACTCGACATCGCTGAAGCAGCCAAGGCTCTCGGTGGAAAGATCAGTGGCTTCTTCAAGAAGGGTCCTGCTCATCTCGACTATCCCGTATCGGAAGTCTACGAGGGACCACTTGACAGCACGAATCGCGTCACTGACATTGAAGGTGAACCACTCACCCACCATGTCACAGTCTACCACAGCGGAAGATCTGATGAGCCAGTGCCGAAGCCAGAAGAAGAGCCCAGAATTGACATCGCTGATGCTGCCAAGACCTTCGGTGACAAGATCACTGGACTGTTCAAGAGAAGACCAACTATTCCTGACTATCCAATTTCAGAACCGTACGAAGGTCCACTGGAAGCTACGAACAAACGAGAAGATATCGAATCTCAGCCAATTCACAATATCGTCACTGTGTATCACAGTGGCCGATCCGATATTCCTCAAGAGCCAGTCGCACCACCACCAGCTCCAGTCGAAGTTATTGCAGTTGTTCCTGCAAGAGACATGTACTACGACTATCCTACTACGGCAGCCTACGAAGGACCACTGGAGAGCACAACTCGCGTGACAGACATCGAAGGTGAGCCTCTCACCTATCATGTGAGCGTGTACCACAGTGGCAGATCTGATGAACCGGCACCTAAACCAGAGAAACCCGAAGAAGAGCCACTCGACATCGCTGAAGCAGCCAAGGCTCTCGGTGGAAAGATCAGTGGATTCTTCAAGAAGGGTCCTGCTCATCTCGACTATCCCGTATCGGAAGTCTACGAGGGACCACTTGACAGCACGAATCGCGTCACTGACATTGAAGGTGAACCACTCACCCACCATGTCACAGTCTACCACAGCGGAAGATCTGATGAGCCAGTGCCGAAGCCAGAAGAAGAGCCCAGAATTGACATCGCTGATGCTGCCAAGACCTTCGGTGACAAGATCACTGGACTGTTCAAGAGAAGACCAACTATTCCTGACTATCCAATATCAGAACCGTACAAAGGTCCACTGGAAGCTACGAACAAACGAGAAGATATCGAATCTCAGCCAATTCACAATATAGTCACTGTGTATCACAGTGGCCGATCCGATATTCCTCAAGAGCCAGTCGCACCACCACCAGCTCCAGTCGAAGTTATTGCAGTTGTTCCTGCAAGAGACATGTACTACGACTATCCTACTACGGCAGCCTACGAAGGACCACTGGAGAGCACAACTCGCGTGACAGACATCGAAGGTGAGCCTCTCACCTATTATGTGAGCGTGTACCACAGTGGCAGATCTGACGAACCGGCACCTAAACCAGAGAAACCCGAAGAAGAGCCACTCGACATCGCTGAAGCAGCCAAGGCTCTCGGTGGAAAGATCAGTGGCTTCTTCAAGAAGGGTCCTGCTCATCTCGACTATCCCGTATCGGAAGTCTACGAGGGACCACTTGACAGCACGAATCGCGTCACTGACATTGAAGGTGAACCACTCACCCACCATGTCACAGTCTACCACAGCGGAAGATCTGATGAGCCAGTGCCGAAGCCAGAAGAAGAGCCCAGAATTGACATCGCTGATGCTGCCAAGACCTTCGGTGACAAGATCACTGGACTGTTCAAGAGAAGACCAACTATTCCTGACTATCCAATTTCAGAACCGTACGAAGGTCCACTGGAAGCTACGAACAAACGAGAAGATATCGAATCTCAGCCAATTCACAATATCGTGACTGTGTATCACAGTGGCCGATCCGATATTCCTCAAGAGCCAGTCGCACCACCACCAGCTCCAGTCGAAGTTATTGCAGTTGTTCCTGCAAGAGACATGTACTACGACTATCCTACTACGGCAGCCTACGAAGGACCACTGGAGAGCACAACTCGCGTGACAGACATCGAAGGTGAGCCTCTCACCTATCATGTGAGCGTGTACCACGGTGGCAGATCTGATGAACCGGCACCTAAACCAGAGAAACCCGAAGAAGAGCCACTCGACATCGCTGAAGCAGCCAAGGCTCTCGGTGGAAAGATCAGTGGCTTCTTCAAGAAGGGTCCTGCTCATCTCGACTATCCCGTATCGGAAGTCTACGAGGGACCACTTGACAGCACGAATCGCGTCACTGACATTGAAGGTGAACCACTCACCCACCATGTCACAGTCTACCACAGCGGAAGATCTGATGAGCCAATGCCGAAGCCAGAAGAAGAGCCCAGAATTGACATCGCTGATGCTGCCAAGACCTTCGGTGATAAGATCACTGGACTGTTCAAGAGAAGACCAACTATTCCTGACTATCCAATATCAGAACCGTATGAAGGTCCACTGGAAGCTACGAACAAACGAGAAGATATCGAATCTCAGCCAATTCACAATATCGTCACTGTGTATCACAGTGGCCGATCCGATATTCCTCAAGAGCCAGTCGCACCACCACCAGCTCCAGTCGAAGTTATTGCAGTTGTTCCTGCAAGAGACATGTACTACGACTATCCTACTACGGCAGCCTACGAAGGACCACTGGAGAGCACAACTCGCGTGACAGACATCGAAGGTGAGCCTCTCACCTATCATGTGAGCGTGTACCACAGTGGCAGATCTGATGAACCGGCACCTAAACCAGAGAAACCCGAAGAAGAGCCACTCGACATCGCTGAAGCAGCCAAGGCTCTCGGTGGAAAGATCAGTGGCTTCTTCAAGAAGGGTCCTGCTCATCTCGACTATCCCGTATCGGAAGTCTACGAGGGACCACTTGACAGCACGAATCGCGTCACTGACATTGAAGGTGAACCACTCACCCATCATGTCACAGTCTACCACAGCGGAAGATCTGATGAGCCAGTGCCGAAGCCAGAAGAAGAGCCCAGAATTGACATCGCTGATGCTGCCAAGACCTTCGGTGACAGGATCACTGGACTGTTCAAGAGAAGACCAACTATTCCTGACTATCCAATTTCAGAACCGTACGAAGGTCCACTGGAAGCTACGAACAAACGAGAAGATATCGAATCTCAGCCAATTCACAATATCGTCACTGTGTATCACAGTGGCCGATCCGATATTCCTCAAGAGCCAGTCGCACCACCACCAGCTCCAGTCGAAGTTATTGCAGTTGTTCCTGCAAGAGACATGTACTACGACTATCCTACTACGGCAGCCTACGAAGGACCACTGGAGAGCACAACTCGCGTGACAGACATCGAAGGTGAGCCTCTCACCTATCATGTGAGCGTGTACCACAGTGGCAGATCTGACGAACCGGCACCTAAACCAGAGAAACCCGAAGAAGAGCCACTCGACATCGCTGAAGCAGCCAAGGCTCTCGGTGGAAAGATCAGTGGCTTCTTCAAGAAGGGTCCTGCTCATCTCGACTATCCCGTATCAGAAGTCTACGAGGGACCACTTGACAGCACGAATCGCGTCACTGACATTGAAGGTGAACCACTCACCCACCATGTCACAGTCTACCACAGCGGAAGATCTGATGAGCCAGTGCCGAAGCCAGAAGAAGAGCCCAGAATTGACATCGCTGATGCTGCCAAGACCTTCGGTGACAAGATCACTGGACTGTTCAAGAGAAGACCAACTATTCCTGACTATCCAATATCAGAACGGTACGAAGGTCCACTGGAAGCTACGAACAAACGAGAAGATATCGAATCTCAGCCAATTCACAATATCGTCACTGTGTATCACAGTGGCCGATCCGATATTCCTCAAGAGCCAGTCGCACCACCACCAGCTCCAGTCGAAGTTATTGCAGTTGTTCCTGCAAGAGACATGTACTACGACTATCCTACTACGGCAGCCTACGAAGGACCACTGGAGAGCACAACTCGCGTGACAGACATCGAAGGTGAGCCTCTCACCTATCATGTGAGCGTGTACCACAGTGGCAGATCTGACGAACCGGCACCTAAACCAGAGAAACCCGAAGAAGAGCCACTCGACATCGCTGAAGCAGCCAAGGCTCTCGGTGGAAAGATCAGTGGCTTCTTTAAGAAGGGTCCTGCTCATCTCGACTATCCCGTATCGGAAGTCTACGAGGGACCACTTGACAGCACGAATCGCGTCACTGACATTGAAGGTGAACCACTCACCCACCATGTCACAGTCTACCACAGCGGAAGATCTGATGAGCCAGTGCCGAAGCCAGAAGAAGAGCCCAGAATTGACATCGCTGATGCTGCCAAGATCTTCGGTGACAAGATCACTGGACTGTTCAAGAGAAGACCAACTATTCCTGACTATCCAATTTCAGAACCGTACGAAGGTCCACTGGAAGCTACGAACAAACGAGAAGATATCGAATCTCAGCCAATTCACAATATCGTCACTGTGTATCACAGTGGCCGATCCGATATTCCTCAAGAGCCAGTCGCACCACCACCAGCTCCAGTCGAAGTTATTGCAGTTGTTCCTGCAAGAGACATGTACTACGACTATCCTACTACCGCAGCCTACGAAGGACCACTGGAGAGCACAACTCGCGTGACAGACATCGAAGGTGAGCCTCTCACCTATCATGTGAGCGTGTACCACAGTGGCAGATCTGATGAACCGGCACCTAAACCAGAGAAACCCGAAGAAGAGCCACTCGACATCGCTGAAGCAGCCAAGGCTCTCGGTGGAAAGATCAGTGGCTTCTTCAAGAAGGGTCCTGCTCATCTCGACTATCCTGTATCGGAAGTCTACGAGGGACCACTTGACAGCACGAATCGCGTCACTGACATTGAAGGTGAACCACTCACCCACCATGTCACAGTCTACCACAGCGGAAGATCTGATGAGCCAGTGCCGAAGCCAGAAGAAGAGCCCAGAATTGACATCGCTGATGCTGCCAAGACCTTCGGTGACAAGATCACTGGACTGTTCAAGAGAAGACCAACTATTCCTGACTATCCAATTTCAGAACCGTACGAAGGTCCACTGGAAGCTACGAACAAACGAGAAGATATCGAATCTCAGCCAATTCACAATATCGTCACTGTGTATCACAGTGGCCGATCCGATATTCCTCAAGAGCCAGTCGCACCACCACCAGCTCCAGTCGAAGTTATTGCAGTTGTTCCTGCAAGAGACATGTACTACGACTATCCTACTACCGCAGCCTACGAAGGACCACTGGAGAGCACAACTCGCGTGACAGACATCGAAGGTGAGCCTCTCACCTATCATGTGAGCGTGTACCACAGTGGCAGATCTGATGAACCGGCACCTAAACCAGAGAAACCCGAAGAAGAGCCACTCGACATCGCTGAAGCAGCCAAGGCTCTCGGTGGAAAGATCAGTGGCTTCTTCAAGAAGGGTCCTGCTCATCTCGACTATCCCGTATCGGAAGTCTACGAGGGACCACTTGACAGCACGAATCGCGTCACTGACATTGAAGGTGAACCACTCACCCACCATGTCACAGTCTACCACAGCGGAAGATCTGATGAGCCAGTGCCGAAGCCAGAAGAAGAGCCCAGAATTGACATCGCTGATGCTGCCAAGACCTTCGGTGACAAGATCACTGGACTGTTCAAGAGAAGACCAACTATTCCTGACTATCCAATATCAGAACCGTACGAAGGTCCACTGGAAGCTACGAACAAACGAGAAGATATCGAATCTCAGCCAATTCACAATATCGTCACTGTGTATCACAGTGGCCGATCCGATATTCCTCAAGAGCCAGTTGCACCACCACCAGCTCCAGTCGAAGTTATTGCAGTTGTTCCTGCAAGAGACATGTACTACGACTATCCTACTACGGCAGCCTACGAAGGACCACTGGAGAGCACAACTCGCGTGACAGACATCGAAGGTGAGCCTCTCACCTATCATGTGAGCGTGTACCACAGTGGCAGATCTGATGAACCGGCACCTAAACCAGAGAAACCCGAAGAAGAGCCACTCGACATCGCTGAAGCAGCCAAGGCTCTCGGTGGAAAGATCAGTGGCTTCTTCAAGAAGGGTCCTGCTCATCTCGACTATCCCGTATCGGAAGTCTACGAGGGACCACTCGACAGCACGAATCGCGTCACTGACATTGAAGGTGAACCACTCACCCACCATGTCACAGTCTACCACAGCGGAAGATCTGATGAGCCAGTGCCGAAGTCAGAAGAAGAGCCCAGAATTGACATCGCTGATGCTGCCAAGACCTTCGGTGATAAGATCACTGGACTGTTCAAGAGAAGACCAACTATTCCTGACTATCCAATATCAGAACCGTACGAAGGTCCACTGGAAGCTACGAACAAACGAGAAGATATCGAATCTCAGCCAATTCACAATATCGTCACTGTGTATCACAGTGGCCGATCCGATATTCCTCAAGAGCCAGTCGCACCACCACCAGCTCCAGTCGAAGTTATTGCAGTTGTTCCTGCAAGAGACATGTACTACGACTATCCTACTACGGCAGCCTACGAAGGACCACTGGAGAGCACAACTCGCGTGACAGACATTGAAGGTGAGCCTCTCACCTATCATGTGAGCGTGTACCACAGTGGCAGATCTGACGAACCGGCACCTAAACCAGAGAAACCCGAAGAAGAGCCACTCGACATCGCTGAAGCAGCCAAGGCTCTCGGTGGAAAGATCAGTGGCTTCTTCAAGAAGGGTCCTGCTCATCTCGACTATCCCGTATCGGAAGTTTACGAGGGACCACTTGACAGCACGAATCGCGTCACTGACATTGAAGGTGAACCACTCACCCACCATGTCACAGTCTACCACAGCGGAAGATCTGATGAGCCAGTGCCGAAGCCAGAAGAAGAGCCCAGAATTGACATCGCTGATGCTGCCAAGACCTTCGGTGACAAGATCACTGGACTGTTCAAGAGAAGACCAACTATTCCTGACTATCCAATATCAGAACCGTACGAAGGTCCACTGGAAGCTACGAACAAACGAGAAGATATCGAATCTCAGCCAATTCACAATATCGTCACTGTGTATCACAGTGGCCGATCCGATATTCCTCAAGAGCCAGTCGCACCACCACCAGTTCCAGTCGAAGTTATTGCAGTTGTTCCTGCAAGAGACATGTACTACGACTATCCTACTACGGCAGCCTACGAAGGACCACTGGAGAGCACAACTCGCGTGACAGACATCGAAGGTGAGCCTCTCACCTATCATGTGAGCGTGTACCACAGTGGCAGATCTGACGAACCGGCACCTAAACCAGAGAAACCCGAAGAAGAGCCACTCGACATCGCTGAAGCAGCCAAGGCTCTCGGTGGAAAGATCAGTGGCTTCTTCAAGAAGGGTCCTGCTCATCTCGACTATCCCGTATCGGAAGTCTACGAGGGACCACTTGACAGCACGAATCGCGTCACTGACATTGAAGGTGAACCACTCACCCACCATGTCACAGTCTACCACAGCGGAAGATCTGATGAGCCAGTGCCGAAGCCAGAAGAAGAGCCCAGAATTGACATCGCTGATGCTGCCAAGACCTTCGGTGACAAGATCACTGGACTGTTCAAGAGAAGACCAACTATTCCTGACTATCCAATATCAGAACCGTACGAAGGTCCACTGGAAGCTACGAACAAACGAGAAGATATCGAATCTCAGCCAATTCACAATATCGTCACTGTGTATCACAGTGGCCGATCCGATATTCCTCAAGAGCCAGCCGCACCACCACCAGCTCCATTCGAAGTTATTGCAGTTGTTCCTGCAAGAGACATGTACTACGACTATCCTACTACGGCAGCCTACGAAGGACCACTGGAGAGCACAACTCGCGTGATAGACATCGAAGGTGAGCCTCTCACCTATCATGTGAGCGTGTACCACAGTGGCAGATCTGACGAACCTGCACCTAAACCAGAGAAACCCGAAGAAGAGCCACTCGACATCGCTGAAGCAGCCAAGGCTCTCGGTGGAAAGATCAGTGGCTTCTTCAAGAAGGGTCCTGCTCATCTCGACTATCCCGTATCGGAAGTCTACGAGGGACTACTTGACAGCACGAATCGCGTCACTGACATTGAAGGTGAACCACTCACCCACCATGTCACAGTCTACCACAGCGGAAGATCTGATGAGCCAGTGCCGAAGCCAGAAGAAGAGCCCAGAATTGACATCGCTGATGCTGCCAAGACCTTCGGTGACAAGATCACTGGACTGTTCAAGAGAAGAGCAACTATTCCTGACTATCCAATATCAGAACCGTACGAAGGTCCACTGGAAGCTACGAACAAACGAGAAGATATCGAATCTCAGCCAATTCACAATATCGTCACTGTGTATCACAGTGGCCGATCCGATATTCCTCAAGAGCCAGTCGCACCACCACCAGCTCCAGTCGAAGTTATTGCAGTTGTTCCTGCAAGAGACATGTACTACGACTATCCTACTACGGCAGCCTACGAAGGACCACTGGAGAGCACAACTCGCGTGATAGACATCGAAGGTGAGCCTCTCACCTATCATGTGAGCGTGTACCACAGTGGCAGATCTGACGAACCGGCACCTAAACCAGAGAAACCCGAAGAAGAGCCACTCGACATCGCTGAAGCAGCCAAGGCTCTCGGTGGAAAGATCAGTGGCTTCTTCAAGAAGGGTCCTGCTCATCTCGACTATCCCGTATCGGAAGTCTACGAGGGACCACTTAACAGCACGAATCGCGTCACTGACATTGAAGGTGAACCACTCACCCACCATGTCACAGTCTACCACAGCGGAAGATCTGATGAGCCAGTGCCGAAGCCAGAAGAAGAGCCCAGAATTGACATCGCTGATGCTGCCAAGACCTTCGGTGACAAGATCACTGGACTGTTCAAGAGAAGACCAACTATTCCTGACTATCCAATATCAGAACCGTACGAAGGTCCACTGGAAGCTACGAACAAACGAGAAGATATCGAATCTCAGCCAATTCACAATATCGTCACTGTGTATCACAGTGGCCGATCCGATATTCCTCAAGAGCCAGTCGCACCACCACCAGCTCCAGTCGAAGTTATTGCAGTTGTTCCTGCAAGAGACATGTACTACGACTATCCTACTACGGCAGCCTACGAAGGACCACTGGAGAGCACAACTCGCGTGACAGACATCGAAGGTGAGCCTCTCACCTATCATGTGAGCGTGTACCACAGTGGCAGATCTGATGAACCGGCACCTAAACCAGAGAAACCCGAAGAAGAGCCACTCGACATCGCTGAAGCAGCCAAGGCTCTCGGTGGAAAGATCAGTGGCTTCTTCAAGAAGGGTCCTGCTCATCTCGACTATCCCGTATCGGAAGTCTACGAGGGACCACTTGACAGCACGAATCGCGTCACTGACATTGAAGGTGAACCACTCACCCATCATGTCACAGTCTACCACAGCGGAAGATCTGATGAGCCAGTGCCGAAGCCAGAAGAAGAGCCCAGAATTGACATCGCTGATGCTGCCAAGACCTTCGGTGACAAGATCGCTGGACTGTTCAAGAGAAGACCAACTATTCCTGACTATCCAATATCAGAACCGTACGAAGGTCCACTGGAAGCTACGAACAAACGAGAAGATATCGAATCTCAGCCAATTCACAATATCGTCACTGTGTATCACAGTGGCCGATCCGATATTCCTCAAGAGCCAGTCGCACCACCACCAGCTCCAGTCGAAGTTATTGAAGTTGTTCCTGCAAGAGACATGTACTACGACTATCCTACTACGGCAGCCTACGAAGGACCACTGGAGAGCACAACTCGCGTGACAGACATCGAAGGTGAGCCTCTCACCTATCATGTGAGCGTGTACCACAGTGGCAGATCTGATGAACCGGCACCTAAACCAGAGAAACCCGAAGAAGAGCCACTCGACATCGCTGAAGCAGCCAAGGCTCTCGGTGGAAAGATCAGTGGCTTCTTCAAGAAGGGTCCTGCTCATCTCGACTATCCCGTATCGGAAGTCTACGAGGGACCACTTTACAGCACGAATCGCGTCACTGACATTGAAGGTGAACCACTCACCCACCATGTCACAGTCTACCACAGCGGAAGATCTGATGAGCCAGTGCCGAAGCCAGAAGAAGAGCCCAGAATTGACATCGCTGGTGCTGCCAAGACCTTCGGTGACAAGATCACTGGACTGTTCAAGAGAAGACCAACTATTCCTGACTATCCAATATCAGAACCGTACGAAGGTCCACTGGAAGCTACGAACAAACGAGAAGATATCGAATCTCAGCCAATTCACAATATCGTCACTGTGTATCACAGTGGCCGATCCGATATTCCTCAAGAGCCAGTCGCACCACCACCAGCTCCAGTCGAAGTTATTGCAGTTGTTCCTGCAAGAGACATGTACTACGACTATCCTACTACGGCAGCCTACGAAGGACCACTGGAGAGCACAACTCGCGTGACAGACATCGAAGGTGAGCCTCTCACCTATCATGTGAGCGTGTACCACAGTGGCAGATCTGACGAACCGGCACCTAAACCAGAGAAACCCGAAGAAGAGCCACTCGACATCGCTGAAGCAGCCAAGGCTCTCGGTGGAAAGATCAGTGGCTTCTTCAAGAAGGGTCCTGCTCATCTCGACTATCCCGTATCGGAAGTCTACGAGGGACCACTTGACAGCACGAATCGCGTCACTGACATTGAAGGTGAACCACTCACCCACCATGTCACAGTCTACCACAGCGGAAGATCTGATGAGCCAGTGCCGAAGCCAGAAGAAGAGCCCAGAATTGACATCGCTGATGCTGCCAAGACCTTCGGTGACAAGATCACTGGACTGTTCAAGAGAAGACCAACTATTCCTGACTATCCAATATCAGAACCGTACGAAGGTCCACTGGAAGCTACGAACAAACGAGAAGATATCGAATCTCAGCCAATTCACAATATCGTCACTGTGTATCACAGTGGCCGAACCGATATTCCTCAAGAGCCAGTCGCACCACCACCAGCTCCAGTCGAAGTTATTGCAGTTGTTCCTGCAAGAGACATGTACTACGACTATCCTACTACGGCAGCCTACGAAGGACCACTGGAGAGCACAACTCGCGTGACAGACATCGAAGGTGAGCCTCTCACCTATCATGTGAGCGTGTACCACAGTGGCAGATCTGATGAACCGGCACCTAAACCAGAGAAACCCGAAGAAGAGCCACTCGACATCGCTGAAGCAGCCAAGGCTCTCGGTGGAAAGATCAGTGGCTTCTTCAAGAAGGGTCCTGCTCATCTCGACTATCCCGTATCGGAAGTCTACGAGGGACCACTTGACAGCACGAATCGCGTCACTGACATTGAAGGTGAACCACTCACCCACCATGTCACAGTCTACCACAGCGGAAGATCTGATGAGCCAGTGCCGAAGCCAGAAGAAGAGCCCAGAATTGACATCGCTGATGCTGCCAAGACCTTCGGTGACAAGATCACTGGACTGTTCAAGAGAAGACCAACTATTCCTGACTATCCAATTTCAGAACCGTACGAAGGTCCACTGGAAGCTACGAACAAACGAGAAGATATCGAATCTCAGCCAATTCACAATATCGTCACTGTGTATCACAGTGGCCGATCCGATATTCCTCAAGAGCCAGTCGCACCACCACCAGCTCCAGTCGAAGTTATTGCAGTTGTTCCTGCAAGAGACATGTACTACGACTATCCTACTACGGCAGCCTACGAAGGACCACTGGAGAGCACAACTCGCGTGACAGACATCGAAGGTGAGCCTCTCACCTATCATGTGAGCGTGTACCACAGTGGCAGATCTGACGAACCGGCACCTAAACCAGAGAAACCCGAAGAAGAGCCACTCGACATCGCTGAAGCAGCCAAGGCTCTCGGTGGAAAGATCAGTGGCTTCTTCAAGAAGGGTCCTGCTCATCTCGACTATCCCGTATCGGAAGTCTACGAGGGACCACTTGACAGCACGAATCGCGTCACTGACATTGAAGGTGAACCACTCACCCACCATGTCACAGTCTACCACAGCGGAAGATCTGATGAGCCAGTGCCGAAGCCAGAAGAAGAGCCCAGAATTGACATCGCTGATGCTGCCAAGACCTTCGGTGACAAGATCACTGGACTGTTCAAGAGAAGACCAACTATTCCTGACTATCCAATATCAGAACCGTACGAAGGTCCACTGGAAGCTACGAACAAACGAGAAGATATCGAATCTCAGCCAATTCACAATATCGTCACTGTGTATCACAGTGGCCGATCCGATATTCCTCAAGAGCCAGTCGCACCACCACCAGCTCCAGTCGAAGTTATTGCAGTTGTTCCTGCAAGAGACATGTACTACGACTATCCTACTACGGCAGCCTACGAAGGACCACTGGAGAGCACAACTCGCGTGACAGACATCGAAGGTGAGCCTCTCACCTATCATGTGAGCGTGTACCACAGTGGCAGATCTGATGAACCGGCACCTAAACCAGAGAAACCCGAAGAAGAGCCACTCGACATCGCTGAAGCAGCCAAGGCTCTCGGTGGAAAGATCAGTGGCTTCTTCAAGAAGGGTCCTGCTCATCTCGACTATCCCGTATCGGAAGTCTACGAGGGACCACTTGACAGCACGAATCGCGTCACTGACATTGAAGGTGAACCACTCACCCACCATGTCACAGTCTACCACAGCGGAAGATCTGATGAGCCAGTGCCGAAGCCAGAAGAAGAGCCCAGAATTGACATCGCTGATGCTGCCAAGACCTTCGGTGACAAGATCACTGGACTGTTCAAGAGAAGACCAACTATTCCTGACTATCCAATATCAGAACCGTACGAAGGTCCACTGGAAGCTACGAACAAACGAGAAGATATCGAATCTCAGCCAATTCACAATATCGTCACTGTGTATCACAGTGGCCGATCCGATATTCCTCAAGAGCCAGTCGCACCACCACCAGCTCCAGTCGAAGTTATTGCAGTTGTTCCTGCAAGAGACATGTACTACGACTATCCTACTACGGCAGCCTACGAAGGACCACTGGAGAGCACAACTCGCGTGACAGACATCGAAGGTGAGCCTCTCACCTATCATGTGAGCGTGTACCACAGTGGCAGATCTGACGAACCGGCACCTAAACCAGAGAAACCCGAAGAAGAGCCACTCGACATCGCTGAAGCAGCCAAGGCTCTCGGTGGAAAGATCAGTGGCTTCTTCAAGAAGGGTCCTGCTCATCTCGACTATCCCGTATCGGAAGTCTACGAGGGACCACTTGACAGCACGAATCGCGTCACTGACATTGAAGGTGAACCACTCACCCACCATGTCACAGTCTACCACAGCGGAAGATCTGATGAGCCAGTGCCGAAGCCAGAAGAAGAGCCCAGAATTGACATCGCTGATGCTGCCAAGACCTTCGGTGACAAGATCACTGGACTGTTCAAGAGAAGACCAACTATTCCTGACTATCCAATATCAGAACCGTACGAAGGTCCACTGGAAGCTACGAACAAACGAGAAGATATCGAATCTCAGCCAATTCACAATATCGTCACTGTGTATCACAGTGGCCGATCCGATATTCCTCAAGAGCCAGTCGCACCACCACCAGCTCCAGTCGAAGTTATTGCAGTTGTTCCTGCAAGAGACATGTACTACGACTATCCTACTACGGCAGCCTACGAAGGACCACTGGAGAGCACAACTCGCGTGACAGACATCGAAGGTGAGCCTCTCACCTATCATGTGAGCGTGTACCACAGTGGCAGATCTGACGAACCGGCACCTAAACCAGAGAAACCCGAAGAAGAGCCACTCGACATCGCTGAAGCAGCCAAGGCTCTCGGTGGAAAGATCAGTGGCTTCTTCAAGAAGGGTCCTGCTCATCTCGACTATCCCGTATCGGAAGTCTACGAGGGACCACTTGACAGCACGAATCGCGTCACTGACATTGAAGGTGAACCACTCACCCACCATGTCACAGTCTACCACAGCGGAAGATCTGATGAGCCAGTGCCGAAGCCAGAAGAAGAGCCCAGAATTGACATCGCTGATGCTGCCAAGACCTTCGGTGACAAGATCACTGGACTGTTCAAGAGAAGACCAACTATTCCTGACTATCCAATATCAGAACCGTACGAAGGTCCACTGGAAGCTACGAACAAACGAGAAGATATCGAATCTCAGCCAATTCACAATATCGTCACTGTGTATCACAGTGGCCGATCCGATATTCCTCAAGAGCCAGTCGCACCACCACCAGCTCCAGTCGAAGTTATTGCAGTTGTTCCTGCAAGAGACATGTACTACGACTATCCTACTACGGCAGCCTACGAAGGACCACTGGAGAGCACAACTCGCGTGACAGACATCGAAGGTGAGCCTCTCACCTATCATGTGAGCGTGTACCACAGTGGCAGATCTGATGAACCGGCACCTAAACCAGAGAAACCCGAAGAAGAGCCACTCGACATCGCTGAAGCAGCCAAGGCTCTCGGTGGAAAGATCAGTGGCTTCTTCAAGAAGGGTCCTGCTCATCTCGACTATCCCGTATCGGAAGTCTACGAGGGACCACTTGACAGCACGAATCGCGTCACTGACATTGAAGGTGAACCACTCACCCACCATGTCACAGTCTACCACAGCGGAAGATCTGATGAGCCAGTGCCGAAGCCAGAAGAAGAGCCCAGAATTGACATCGCTGATGCTGCCAAGACCTTCGGTGACAAGATCACTGGACTGTTCAAGAGAAGACCAACTATTCCTGACTATCCAATATCAGAACCGTACGAAGGTCCACTGGAAGCTACGAACAAACGAGAAGATATCGAATCTCAGCCAATTCACAATATCGTCACTGTGTATCACAGTGGCCGATCCGATATTCCTCAAGAGCCAGTCGCACCACCACCAGCTCCAGTCGAAGTTATTGCAGTTGTTCCTGCAAGAGACATGTACTACGACTATCCTACTACGGCAGCCTACGAAGGACCACTGGAGAGCACAACTCGCGTGACAGACATCGAAGGTGAGCCTCTCACCTATCATGTGAGCGTGTACCACAGTGGCAGATCTGATGAACCGGCACCTAAACCAGAGAAACCCGAAGAAGAGCCACTCGACATCGCTGAAGCAGCCAAGGCTCTCGGTGGAAAGATCAGTGGCTTCTTCAAGAAGGGTCCTGCTCATCTCGACTATCCCGTATCGGAAGTCTACGAGGGACCACTTGACAGCACGAATCGCGTCACTGACATTGAAGGTGAACCACTCACCCACCATGTCACAGTCTACCACAGCGGAAGATCTGATGAGCCAGTGCCGAAGCCAGAAGAAGAGCCCAGAATTGACATCGCTGATGCTGCCAAGACCTTCGGTGACAAGATCACTGGACTGTTCAAGAGAAGACCAACTATTCCTGACTATCCAATATCAGAACCGTACGAAGGTCCACTGGAAGCTACGAACAAACGAGAAGATATCGAATCTCAGCCAATTCACAATATCGTCACTGTGTATCACAGTGGCCGATCCGATATTCCTCAAGAGCCAGTCGCACCACCACCAGCTCCAGTCGAAGTTATTGCAGTTGTTCCTGCAAGAGACATGTACTACGACTATCCTACTACGGCAGCCTACGAAGGACCACTGGAGAGCACAACTCGCGTGACAGACATCGAAGGTGAGCCTCTCACCTATCATGTGAGCGTGTACCACAGTGGCAGATCTGATGAACCGGCACCTAAACCAGAGAAACCCGAAGAAGAGCCACTCGACATCGCTGAAGCAGCCAAGGCTCTCGGTGGAAAGATCAGTGGCTTCTTCAAGAAGGGTCCTGCTCATCTCGACTATCCCGTATCGGAAGTCTACGAGGGACCACTTGACAGCACGAATCGCGTCACTGACATTGAAGGTGAACCACTCACCCACCATGTCACAGTCTACCACAGCGGAAGATCTGATGAGCCAGTGCCGAAGCCAGAAGAAGAGCCCAGAATTGACATCGCTGATGCTGCCAAGACCTTCGGTGACAAGATCACTGGACTGTTCAAGAGAAGACCAACTATTCCTGACTATCCAATATCAGAACCGTACGAAGGTCCACTGGAAGCTACGAACAAACGAGAAGATATCGAATCTCAGCCAATTCACAATATCGTCACTGTGTATCACAGTGGCCGATCCGATATTCCTCAAGAGCCAGTCGCACCACCACCAGCTCCAGTCGAAGTTATTGCAGTTGTTCCTGCAAGAGACATGTACTACGACTATCCTACTACGGCAGCCTACGAAGGACCACTGGAGAGCACAACTCGCGTGACAGACATCGAAGGTGAGCCTCTCACCTATCATGTGAGCGTGTACCACAGTGGCAGATCTGATGAACCGGCACCTAAACCAGAGAAACCCGAAGAAGAGCCACTCGACATCGCTGAAGCAGCCAAGGCTCTCGGTGGAAAGATCAGTGGCTTCTTCAAGAAGGGTCCTGCTCATCTCGACTATCCCGTATCGGAAGTCTACGAGGGACCACTTGACAGCACGAATCGCGTCACTGACATTGAAGGTGAACCACTCACCCACCATGTCACAGTCTACCACAGCGGAAGATCTGATGAGCCAGTGCCGAAGCCAGAAGAAGAGCCCAGAATTGACATCGCTGATGCTGCCAAGACCTTCGGTGACAAGATCACTGGACTGTTCAAGAGAAGACCAACTATTCCTGACTATCCAATATCAGAACCGTACGAAGGTCCACTGGAAGCTACGAACAAACGAGAAGATATCGAATCTCAGCCAATTCACAATATCGTCACTGTGTATCACAGTGGCCGATCCGATATTCCTCAAGAGCCAGTCGCACCACCACCAGCTCCAGTCGAAGTTATTGCAGTTGTTCCTGCAAGAGACATGTACTACGACTATCCTACTACGGCAGCCTACGAAGGACCACTGGAGAGCACAACTCGCGTGACAGACATCGAAGGTCAGCCTCTCACCTATCATGTGAGCGTGTACCACAGTGGCAGATCTGATGAACCGGCACCTAAACCAGAGAAACCCGAAGAAGAGCCACTCGACATCGCTGAAGCAGCCAAGGCTCTCGGTGGAAAGATCAGTGGCTTCTTCAAGAAGGGTCCTGCTCATCTCGACTATCCCGTATCGGAAGTCTACGAGGGACCACTTGACAGCACGAATCGCGTCACTGACATTGAAGGTGAACCACTCACCCACCATGTCACAGTCTACCACAGCGGAAGATCTGATGAGCCAGTGCCGAAGCCAGAAGAAGAGCCCAGAATTGACATCGCTGATGCTGCCAAGACCTTCGGTGACAAGATCACTGGACTGTTCAAGAGAAGACCAACTATTCCTGACTATCCAATATCAGAACCGTACGAAGGTCCACTGGAAGCTACGAACAAACGAGAAGATATCGAATCTCAGCCAATTCACAATATCGTCACTGTGTATCACAGTGGCCGATCCGATATTCCTCAAGAGCCAGTCGCACCACCACCAGCTCCAGTCGAAGTTATTGCAGTTGTTCCTGCAAGAGACATGTACTACGACTATCCTACTACGGCAGCCTACGAAGGACCACTGGAGAGCACAACTCGCGTGACAGACATCGAAGGTGAGCCTCTCACCTATCATGTGAGCGTGTACCACAGTGGCAGATCTGATGAACCGGCACCTAAACCAGAGAAACCCGAAGAAGAGCCACTCGACATCGCTGAAGCAGCCAAGGCTCTCGGTGGAAAGATCAGTGGCTTCTTCAAGAAGGGTCCTGCTCATCTCGACTATCCCGTATCGGAAGTCTACGAGGGACCACTTGACAGCACGAATCGCGTCACTGACATTGAAGGTGAACCACTCACCCACCATGTCACAGTCTACCACAGCGGAAGATCTGATGAGCCAGTGCCGAAGCCAGAAGAAGAGCCCAGAATTGACATCGCTGATGCTGCCAAGACCTTCGGTGACAAGATCACTGGACTGTTCAAGAGAAGACCAACTATTCCTGACTATCCAATATCAGAACCGTACGAAGGTCCACTGGAAGCTACGAACAAACGAGAAGATATCGAATCTCAGCCAATTCACAATATCGTCACTGTGTATCACAGTGGCCGATCCGATATTCCTCAAGAGCCAGTCGCACCACCACCAGCTCCAGTCGAAGTTATTGCAGTTGTTCCTGCAAGAGACATGTACTACGACTATCCTACTACGGCAGCCTACGAAGGACCACTGGAGAGCACAACTCGCGTGACAGACATCGAAGGTGAGCCTCTCACCTATCATGTGAGCGTGTACCACAGTGGCAGATCTGATGAACCGGCACCTAAACCAGAGAAACCCGAAGAAGAGCCACTCGACATCGCTGAAGCAGCCAAGGCTCTCGGTGGAAAGATCAGTGGCTTCTTCAAGAAGGGTCCTGCTCATCTCGACTATCCCGTATCGGAAGTCTACGAGGGACCACTTGACAGCACGAATCGCGTCACTGACATTGAAGGTGAACCACTCACCCACCATGTCACAGTCTACCACAGCGGAAGATCTGATGAGCCAGTGCCGAAGCCAGAAGAAGAGCCCAGAATTGACATCGCTGATGCTGCCAAGACCTTCGGTGACAAGATCACTGGACTGTTCAAGAGAAGACCAACTATTCCTGACTATCCAATATCAGAACCGTACGAAGGTCCACTGGAAGCTACGAACAAACGAGAAGATATCGAATCTCAGCCAATTCACAATATCGTCACTGTGTATCACAGTGGCCGATCCGATATTCCTCAAGAGCCAGTCGCACCACCACCAGCTCCAGTCGAAGTTATTGCAGTTGTTCCTGCAAGAGACATGTACTACGACTATCCTACTACGGCAGCCTACGAAGGACCACTGGAGAGCACAACTCGCGTGACAGACATCGAAGGTCAGCCTCTCACCTATCATGTGAGCGTGTACCACAGTGGCAGATCTGATGAACCGGCACCTAAACCAGAGAAACCCGAAGAAGAGCCACTCGACATCGCTGAAGCAGCCAAGGCTCTCGGTGGAAAGATCAGTGGCTTCTTCAAGAAGGGTCCTGCTCATCTCGACTATCCCGTATCGGAAGTCTACGAGGGACCACTTGACAGCACGAATCGCGTCACTGACATTGAAGGTGAACCACTCACCCACCATGTCACAGTCTACCACAGCGGAAGATCTGATGAGCCAGTGCCGAAGCCAGAAGAAGAGCCCAGAATTGACATCGCTGATGCTGCCAAGACCTTCGGTGACAAGATCACTGGACTGTTCAAGAGAAGACCAACTATTCCTGACTATCCAATATCAGAACCGTACGAAGGTCCACTGGAAGCTACGAACAAACGAGAAGATATCGAATCTCAGCCAATTCACAATATCGTCACTGTGTATCACAGTGGCCGATCCGATATTCCTCAAGAGCCAGTCGCACCACCACCAGCTCCAGTCGAAGTTATTGCAGTTGTTCCTGCAAGAGACATGTACTACGACTATCCTACTACGGCAGCCTACGAAGGACCACTGGAGAGCACAACTCGCGTGACAGACATCGAAGGTGAGCCTCTCACCTATCATGTGAGCGTGTACCACAGTGGCAGATCTGACGAACCGGCACCTAAACCAGAGAAACCCGAAGAAGAGCCACTCGACATCGCTGAAGCAGCCAAGGCTCTCGGTGGAAAGATCAGTGGCTTCTTCAAGAAGGGTCCTGCTCATCTCGACTATCCCGTATCGGAAGTTTACGAGGGACCACTTGACAGCACGAATCGCGTCACTGACATTGAAGGTGAACCACTCACCCACCATGTCACAGTCTACCACAGCGGAAGATCTGATGAGCCAGTGCCGAAGCCAGAAGAAGAGCCCAGAATTGACATCGCTGATGCTGCCAAGACCTTCGGTGACAAGATCACTGGACTGTTCAAGAGAAGACCAACTATTCCTGACTATCCAATATCAGAACCGTACGAAGGTCCACTGGAAGCTACGAACAAACGAGAAGATATCGAATCTCAGCCAATTCACAATATCGTCACTGTGTATCACAGTGGCCGATCCGATATTCCTCAAGAGCCAGTCGCACCACCACCAGCTCCAGTCGAAGTTATTGCAGTTGTTCCTGCAAGAGACATGTACTACGACTATCCTACTACGGCAGCCTACGAAGGACCACTGGAGAGCACAACTCGCGTGACAGACATCGAAGGTGAGCCTCTCACCTATCATGTGAGCGTGTACCACAGTGGCAGATCTGATGAACCGGCACCTAAACCAGAGAAACCCGAAGAAGAGCCACTCGACATCGCTGAAGCAGCCAAGGCTCTCGGTGGAAAGATCAGTGGCTTCTTCAAGAAGGGTCCTGCTCATCTCGACTATCCCGTATCGGAAGTCTACGAGGGACCACTTGACAGCACGAATCGCGTCACTGACATTGAAGGTGAACCACTCACCCACCATGTCACAGTCTACCACAGCGGAAGATCTGATGAGCCAGTGCCGAAGCCAGAAGAAGAGCCCAGAATTGACATCGCTGATGCTGCCAAGACCTTCGGTGACAAGATCACTGGACTGTTCAAGAGAAGACCAACTATTCCTGACTATCCAATATCAGAACCGTACGAAGGTCCACTGGAAGCTACGAACAAACGAGAAGATATCGAATCTCAGCCAATTCACAATATCGTCACTGTGTATCACAGTGGCCGATCCGATATTCCTCAAGAGCCAGTCGCACCACCACCAGCTCCAGTCGAAGTTATTGCAGTTGTTCCTGCAAGAGACATGTACTACGACTATCCTACTACGGCAGCCTACGAAGGACCACTGGAGAGCACAACTCGCGTGACAGACATCGAAGGTGAGCCTCTCACCTATCATGTGAGCGTGTACCACAGTGGCAGATCTGATGAACCGGCACCTAAACCAGAGAAACCCGAAGAAGAGCCACTCGACATCGCTGAAGCAGCCAAGGCTCTCGGTGGAAAGATCAGTGGCTTCTTCAAGAAGGGTCCTGCTCATCTCGACTATCCCGTATCGGAAGTCTACGAGGGACCACTTGACAGCACGAATCGCGTCACTGACATTGAAGGTGAACCACTCACCCACCATGTCACAGTCTACCACAGCGGAAGATCTGATGAGCCAGTGCCGAAGCCAGAAGAAGAGCCCAGAATTGACATCGCTGATGCTGCCAAGACCTTCGGTGACAAGATCACTGGACTGTTCAAGAGAAGACCAACTATTCCTGACTATCCAATATCAGAACCGTACGAAGGTCCACTGGAAGCTACGAACAAACGAGAAGATATCGAATCTCAGCCAATTCACAATATCGTCACTGTGTATCACAGTGGCCGATCCGATATTCCTCAAGAGCCAGTCGCACCACCACCAGCTCCAGTCGAAGTTATTGCAGTTGTTCCTGCAAGAGACATGTACTACGACTATCCTACTACGGCAGCCTACGAAGGACCACTGGAGAGCACAACTCGCGTGACAGACATCGAAGGTGAGCCTCTCACCTATCATGTGAGCGTGTACCACAGTGGCAGATCTGATGAACCGGCACCTAAACCAGAGAAACCCGAAGAAGAGCCACTCGACATCGCTGAAGCAGCCAAGGCTCTCGGTGGAAAGATCAGTGGCTTCTTCAAGAAGGGTCCTGCTCATCTCGACTATCCCGTATCGGAAGTCTACGAGGGACCACTTGACAGCACGAATCGCGTCACTGACATTGAAGGTGAACCACTCACCCACCATGTCACAGTCTACCACAGCGGAAGATCTGATGAGCCAGTGCCGAAGCCAGAAGAAGAGCCCAGAATTGACATCGCTGATGCTGCCAAGACCTTCGGTGACAAGATCACTGGACTGTTCAAGAGAAGACCAACTATTCCTGACTATCCAATATCAGAACCGTACGAAGGTCCACTGGAAGCTACGAACAAACGAGAAGATATCGAATCTCAGCCAATTCACAATATCGTCACTGTGTATCACAGTGGCCGATCCGATATTCCTCAAGAGCCAGTCGCACCACCACCAGCTCCAGTCGAAGTTATTGCAGTTGTTCCTGCAAGAGACATGTACTACGACTATCCTACTACGGCAGCCTACGAAGGACCACTGGAGAGCACAACTCGCGTGACAGACATCGAAGGTGAGCCTCTCACCTATCATGTGAGCGTGTACCACAGTGGCAGATCTGATGAACCGGCACCTAAACCAGAGAAACCCGAAGAAGAGCCACTCGACATCGCTGAAGCAGCCAAGGCTCTCGGTGGAAAGATCAGTGGCTTCTTCAAGAAGGGTCCTGCTCATCTCGACTATCCCGTATCGGAAGTCTACGAGGGACCACTTGACAGCACGAATCGCGTCACTGACATTGAAGGTGAACCACTCACCCACCATGTCACAGTCTACCACAGCGGAAGATTTGATGAGCCAGTGCCGAAGCCAGAAGAAGAGCCCAGAATTGACATCGCTGATGCTGCCAAGACCTTCGGTGACAAGATCACTGGACTGTTCAAGAGAAGACCAACTATTCCTGACTATCCAATATCAGAACCGTACGAAGGTCCACTGGAAGCTACGAACAAACGAGAAGATATCGAATCTCAGCCAATTCACAATATCGTCACTGTGTATCACAGTGGCCGATCCGATATTCCTCAAGAGCCAGTCGCACCACCACCAGCTCCAGTCGAAGTTATTGCAGTTGTTCCTGCAAGAGACATGTACTACGACTATCCTACTACGGCAGCCTACGAAGGACCACTGGAGAGCACAACTCGCGTGACAGACATCGAAGGTGAGCCTCTCACCTATCATGTGAGCGTGTACCACAGTGGCAGATCTGACGAACCGGCACCTAAACCAGAGAAACCCGAAGAAGAGCCACTCGACATCGCTGAAGCAGCCAAGGCTCTCGGTGGAAAGATCAGTGGCTTCTTCAAGAAGGGTCCTGCTCATCTCGACTATCCCGTATCGGAAGTTTACGAGGGACCACTTGACAGCACGAATCGCGTCACTGACATTGAAGGTGAACCACTCACCCACCATGTCACAGTCTACCACAGCGGAAGATCTGATGAGCCAGTGCCGAAGCCAGAAGAAGAGCCCAGAATTGACATCGCTGATGCTGCCAAGACCTTCGGTGACAAGATCACTGGACTGTTCAAGAGAAGACCAACTATTCCTGACTATCCAATATCAGAACCGTACGAAGGTCCACTGGAAGCTACGAACAAACGAGAAGATATCGAATCTCAGCCAATTCACAATATCGTCACTGTGTATCACAGTGGCCGATCCGATATTCCTCAAGAGCCAGTCGCACCACCACCAGCTCCAGTCGAAGTTATTGCAGTTGTTCCTGCAAGAGACATGTACTACGACTATCCTACTACGGCAGCCTACGAAGGACCACTGGAGAGCACAACTCGCGTGACAGACATCGAAGGTGAGCCTCTCACCTATCATGTGAGCGTGTACCACAGTGGCAGATCTGATGAACCGGCACCTAAACCAGACAAACCCGAAGAAGAGCCACTCGACATCGCTGAAGCAGCCAAGGCTCTCGGTGGAAAGATCAGTGGCTTCTTCAAGAAGGGTCCTGCTCATCTCGACTATCCCGTATCGGAAGTCTACGAGGGACCACTTGACAGCACGAATCGCGTCACTGACATTGAAGGTGAACCACTCACCCACCATGTCACAGTCTACCACAGCGGAAGATCTGATGAGCCAGTGCCGAAGCCAGAAGAAGAGCCCAGAATTGACATCGCTGATGCTGCCAAGACCTTCGGTGACAAGATCACTGGACTGTTCAAGAGAAGACCAACTATTCCTGACTATCCAATATCAGAACCGTACGAAGGTCCACTGGAAGCTACGAACAAACGAGAAGATATCGAATCTCAGCCAATTCACAATATCGTCACTGTGTATCACAGTGGCCGATCCGATATTCCTCAAGAGCCAGTCGCACCACCACCAGCTCCAGTCGAAGTTATTGCAGTTGTTCCTGCAAGAGACATGTACTACGACTATCCTACTACGGCAGCCTACGAAGGACCACTGGAGAGCACAACTCGCGTGACAGACATCGAAGGTGAGCCTCTCACCTATCATGTGAGCGTGTACCACAGTGGCAGATCTGATGAACCGGCACCTAAACCAGAGAAACCCGAAGAAGAGCCACTCGACATCGCTGAAGCAGCCAAGGCTCTCGGTGGAAAGATCAGTGGCTTCTTCAAGAAGGGTCCTGCTCATCTCGACTATCCCGTATCGGAAGTCTACGAGGGACCACTTGACAGCACGAATCGCGTCACTGACATTGAAGGTGAACCACTCACCCACCATGTCACAGTCTACCACAGCGGAAGATCTGATGAGCCAGTGCCGAAGCCAGAAGAAGAGCCCAGAATTGACATCGCTGATGCTGCCAAGACCTTCGGTGACAAGATCACTGGACTGTTCAAGAGAAGACCAACTATTCCTGACTATCCAATATCAGAACCGTACGAAGGTCCACTGGAAGCTACGAACAAACGAGAAGATATCGAATCTCAGCCAATTCACAATATCGTCACTGTGTATCACAGTGGCCGATCCGATATTCCTCAAGAGCCAGTCGCACCACCACCAGCTCCAGTCGAAGTTATTGCAGTTGTTCCTGCAAGAGACATGTACTACGACTATCCTACTACGGCAGCCTACGAAGGACCACTGGAGAGCACAACTCGCGTGACAGACATCGAAGGTGAGCCTCTCACCTATCATGTGAGCGTGTACCACAGTGGCAGATCTGATGAACCGGCACCTAAACCAGAGAAACCCGAAGAAGAGCCACTCGACATCGCTGAAGCAGCCAAGGCTCTCGGTGGAAAGATCAGTGGCTTCTTCAAGAAGGGTCCTGCTCATCTCGACTATCCCGTATCGGAAGTCTACGAGGGACCACTTGACAGCACGAATCGCGTCACTGACATTGAAGGTGAACCACTCACCCACCATGTCACAGTCTACCACAGCGGAAGATCTGATGAGCCAGTGCCGAAGCCAGAAGAAGAGCCCAGAATTGACATCGCTGATGCTGCCAAGACCTTCGGTGACAAGATCACTGGACTGTTCAAGAGAAGACCAACTATTCCTGACTATCCAATATCAGAACCGTACGAAGGTCCACTGGAAGCTACGAACAAACGAGAAGATATCGAATCTCAGCCAATTCACAATATCGTCACTGTGTATCACAGTGGCCGATCCGATATTCCTCAAGAGCCAGTCGCACCACCACCAGCTCCAGTCGAAGTTATTGCAGTTGTTCCTGCAAGAGACATGTACTACGACTATCCTACTACGGCAGCCTACGAAGGACCACTGGAGAGCACAACTCGCGTGACAGACATCGAAGGTGAGCCTCTCACCTATCATGTGAGCGTGTACCACAGTGGCAGATCTGATGAACCGGCACCTAAACCAGAGAAACCCGAAGAAGAGCCACTCGACATCGCTGAAGCAGCCAAGGCTCTCGGTGGAAAGATCAGTGGCTTCTTCAAGAAGGGTCCTGCTCATCTCGACTATCCCGTATCGGAAGTCTACGAGGGACCACTTGACAGCACGAATCGCGTCACTGACATTGAAGGTGAACCACTCACCCACCATGTCACAGTCTACCACAGCGGAAGATCTGATGAGCCAGTGCCGAAGCCAGAAGAAGAGCCCAGAATTGACATCGCTGATGCTGCCAAGACCTTCGGTGACAAGATCACTGGACTGTTCAAGAGAAGACCAACTATTCCTGACTATCCAATATCAGAACCGTACGAAGGTCCACTGGAAGCTACGAACAAACGAGAAGATATCGAATCTCAGCCAATTCACAATATCGTCACTGTGTATCACAGTGGCCGATCCGATATTCCTCAAGAGCCAGTCGCACCACCACCAGCTCCAGTCGAAGTTATTGCAGTTGTTCCTGCAAGAGACATGTACTACGACTATCCTACTACGGCAGCCTACGAAGGACCACTGGAGAGCACAACTCGCGTGACAGACATCGAAGGTGAGCCTCTCACCTATCATGTGAGCGTGTACCACAGTGGCAGATCTGATGAACCGGCACCTAAACCAGAGAAACCCGAAGAAGAGCCACTCGACATCGCTGAAGCAGCCAAGGCTCTCGGTGGAAAGATCAGTGGCTTCTTCAAGAAGGGTCCTGCTCATCTCGACTATCCCGTATCGGAAGTCTACGAGGGACCACTTGACAGCACGAATCGCGTCACTGACATTGAAGGTGAACCACTCACCCACCATGTCACAGTCTACCACAGCGGAAGATCTGATGAGCCAGTGCCGAAGCCAGAAGAAGAGCCCAGAATTGACATCGCTGATGCTGCCAAGACCTTCGGTGACAAGATCACTGGACTGTTCAAGAGAAGACCAACTATTCCTGACTATCCAATATCAGAACCGTACGAAGGTCCACTGGAAGCTACGAACAAACGAGAAGATATCGAATCTCAGCCAATTCACAATATCGTCACTGTGTATCACAGTGGCCGATCCGATATTCCTCAAGAGCCAGTCGCACCACCACCAGCTCCAGTCGAAGTTATTGCAGTTGTTCCTGCAAGAGACATGTACTACGACTATCCTACTACGGCAGCCTACGAAGGACCACTGGAGAGCACAACTCGCGTGACAGACATCGAAGGTGAGCCTCTCACCTATCATGTGAGCGTGTACCACAGTGGCAGATCTGATGAACCGGCACCTAAACCAGAGAAACCCGAAGAAGAGCCACTCGACATCGCTGAAGCAGCCAAGGCTCTCGGTGGAAAGATCAGTGGCTTCTTCAAGAAGGGTCCTGCTCATCTCGACTATCCCGTATCGGAAGTCTACGAGGGACCACTTGACAGCACGAATCGCGTCACTGACATTGAAGGTGAACCACTCACCCACCATGTCACAGTCTACCACAGCGGAAGATCTGATGAGCCAGTGCCGAAGCCAGAAGAAGAGCCCAGAATTGACATCGCTGATGCTGCCAAGACCTTCGGTGACAAGATCACTGGACTGTTCAAGAGAAGACCAACTATTCCTGACTATCCAATATCAGAACCGTACGAAGGTCCACTGGAAGCTACGAACAAACGAGAAGATATCGAATCTCAGCCAATTCACAATATCGTCACTGTGTATCACAGTGGCCGATCCGATATTCCTCAAGAGCCAGTCGCACCACCACCAGCTCCAGTCGAAGTTATTGCAGTTGTTCCTGCAAGAGACATGTACTACGACTATCCTACTACGGCAGCCTACGAAGGACCACTGGAGAGCACAACTCGCGTGACAGACATCGAAGGTGAGCCTCTCACCTATCATGTGAGCGTGTACCACAGTGGCAGATCTGATGAACCGGCACCTAAACCAGAGAAACCCGAAGAAGAGCCACTCGACATCGCTGAAGCAGCCAAGGCTCTCGGTGGAAAGATCAGTGGATTCTTCAAGAAGGGTCCTGCTCATCTCGACTATCCCGTATCGGAAGTCTACGAGGGACCACTTGACAGCACGAATCGCGTCACTGACATTGAAGGTGAACCACTCACCCACCATGTCACAGTCTACCACAGCGGAAGATCTGATGAGCCAGTGCCGAAGCCAGAAGAAGAGCCCAGAATTGACATCGCTGATGCTGCCAAGACCTTCGGTGACAAGATCACTGGACTGTTCAAGAGAAGACCAACTATTCCTGACTATCCAATATCAGAACCGTACGAAGGTCCACTGGAAGCTACGAACAAACGAGAAGATATCGAATCTCAGCCAATTCACAATATCGTCACTGTGTATCACAGTGGCCGATCCGATATTCCTCAAGAGCCAGTCGCACCACCACCAGCTCCAGTCGAAGTTATTGCAGTTGTTCCTGCAAGAGACATGTACTACGACTATCCTACTACGGCAGCCTACGAAGGACCACTGGAGAGCACAACTCGCGTGACAGACATCGAAGGTGAGCCTCTCACCTATCATGTGAGCGTGTACCACAGTGGCAGATCTGATGAACCGGCACCTAAACCAGAGAAACCCGAAGAAGAGCCACTCGACATCGCTGAAGCAGCCAAGGCTCTCGGTGGAAAGATCAGTGGCTTCTTCAAGAAGGGTCCTGCTCATCTCGACTATCCCGTATCGGAAGTCTACGAGGGACCACTTGACAGCACGAATCGCGTCACTGACATTGAAGGTGAACCACTCACCCACCATGTCACAGTCTACCACAGCGGAAGATCTGATGAGCCAGTGCCGAAGCCAGAAGAAGAGCCCAGAATTGACATCGCTGATGCTGCCAAGACCTTCGGTGACAAGATCACTGGACTGTTCAAGAGAAGACCAACTATTCCTGACTATCCAATATCAGAACCGTACGAAGGTCCACTGGAAGCTACGAACAAACGAGAAGAGATCGAATCTCAGCCAATTCACAATATCGTCACTGTGTATCACAGTGGCCGATCCGATATTCCTCAAGAGCCAGTCGCACCACCACCAGCTCCAGTCGAAGTTATTGCAGTTGTTCCTGCAAGAGACATGTACTACGACTATCCTACTACGGCAGCCTACGAAGGACCACTGGAGAGCACAACTCGCGTGACAGACATCGAAGGTGAGCCTCTCACCTATCATGTGAGCGTGTACCACAGTGGCAGATCTGATGAACCGGCACCTAAACCAGAGAAACCCGAAGAAGAGCCACTCGACATCGCTGAAGCAGCCAAGGCTCTCGGTGGAAAGATCAGTGGCTTCTTCAAGAAGGGTCCTGCTCATCTCGACTATCCCGTATCGGAAGTCTACGAGGGACCACTTGACAGCACGAATCGCGTCACTGACATTGAAGGTGAACCACTCACCCACCATGTCACAGTCTACCACAGCGGAAGATCTGATGAGCCAGTGCCGAAGCCAGAAGAAGAGCCCAGAATTGACATCGCTGATGCTGCCAAGACCTTCGGTGACAAGATCACTGGACTGTTCAAGAGAAGACCAACTATTCCTGACTATCCAATATCAGAACCGTACGAAGGTCCACTGGAAGCTACGAACAAACGAGAAGATATCGAATCTCAGCCAATTCACAATATCGTCACTGTGTATCACAGTGGCCGATCCGATATTCCTCAAGAGCCAGACGCACCACCACCAGCTCCAGTCGAAGTTATTGCAGTTGTTCCTGCAAGAGACATGTACTACGACTATCCTACTACGGCAGCCTACGAAGGACCACTGGAGAGCACAACTCGCGTGACAGACATCGAAGGTGAGCCTCTCACCTATCATGTGAGCGTGTACCACAGTGGCAGATCTGATGAACCGGCACCTAAACCAGAGAAACCCGAAGAAGAGCCACTCGACATCGCTGAAGCAGCCAAGGCTCTCGGTGGAAAGATCAGTGGCTTCTTCAAGAAGGGTCCTGCTCATCTCGACTATCCCGTATCGGAAGTCTACGAGGGACCACTTGACAGCACGAATCGCGTCACTGACATTGAAGGTGAACCACTCACCCACCATGTCACAGTCTACCACAGCGGAAGATCTGATGAGCCAGTGCCGAAGCCAGAAGAAGAGCCCAGAATTGACATCGCTGATGCTGCCAAGACCTTCGGTGACAAGATCACTGGACTGTTCAAGAGAAGACCAACTATTCCTGACTATCCAATATCAGAACCGTACGAAGGTCCACTGGAAGCTACGAACAAACGAGAAGATATCGAATCTCAGCCAATTCACAATATCGTCACTGTGTATCACAGTGGCCGATCCGATATTCCTCAAGAGCCAGTCGCACCACCACCAGCTCCAGTCGAAGTTATTGCAGTTGTTCCTGCAAGAGACATGTACTACGACTATCCTACTACGGCAGCCTACGAAGGACCACTGGAGAGCACAACTCGCGTGACAGACATCGAAGGTGAGCCTCTCACCTATCATGTGAGCGTGTACCACAGTGGCAGATCTGATGAACCGGCACCTAAACCAGAGAAACCCGAAGAAGAGCCACTCGACATCGCTGAAGCAGCCAAGGCTCTCGGTGGAAAGATCAGTGGCTTCTTCAAGAAGGGTCCTGCTCATCTCGACTATCCCGTATCGGAAGTCTACGAGGGACCACTTGACAGCACGAATCGCGTCACTGACATTGAAGGTGAACCACTCACCCACCATGTCACAGTCTACCACAGCGGAAGATCTGATGAGCCAGTGCCGAAGCCAGAAGAAGAGCCCAGAATTGACATCGCTGATGCTGCCAAGACCTTCGGTGACAAGATCACTGGACTGTTCAAGAGAAGACCAACTATTCCTGACTATCCAATATCAGAACCGTACGAAGGTCCACTGGAAGCTACGAACAAACGAGAAGATATCGAATCTCAGCCAATTCACAATATCGTCACTGTGTATCACAGTGGCCGATCCGATATTCCTCAAGAGCCAGTCGCACCACCACCAGCTCCAGTCGAAGTTATTGCAGTTGTTCCTGCAAGAGACATGTACTACGACTATCCTACTACGGCAGCCTACGAAGGACCACTGGAGAGCACAACTCGCGTGACAGACATCGAAGGTGAGCCTCTCACCTATCATGTGAGCGTGTACCACAGTGGCAGATCTGATGAACCGGCACCTAAACCAGAGAAACCCGAAGAAGAGCCACTCGACATCGCTGAAGCAGCCAAGGCTCTCGGTGGAAAGATCAGTGGATTCTTCAAGAAGGGTCCTGCTCATCTCGACTATCCCGTATCGGAAGTCTACGAGGGACCACTTGACAGCACGAATCGCGTCACTGACATTGAAGGTGAACCACTCACCCACCATGTCACAGTCTACCACAGCGGAAGATCTGATGAGCCAGTGCCGAAGCCAGAAGAAGAGCCCAGAATTGACATCGCTGATGCTGCCAAGACCTTCGGTGACAAGATCACTGGACTGTTCAAGAGAAGACCAACTATTCCTGACTATCCAATATCAGAACCGTACGAAGGTCCACTGGAAGCTACGAACAAACGAGAAGATATCGAATCTCAGCCAATTCACAATATCGTCACTGTGTATCACAGTGGCCGATCCGATATTCCTCAAGAGCCAGTCGCACCACCACCAGCTCCAGTCGAAGTTATTGCAGTTGTTCCTGCAAGAGACATGTACTACGACTATCCTACTACGGCAGCCTACGAAGGACCACTGGAGAGCACAACTCGCGTGACAGACATCGAAGGTGAGCCTCTCACCTATCATGTGAGCGTGTACCACAGTGGCAGATCTGATGAACCGGCACCTAAACCAGAGAAACCCGAAGAAGAGCCACTCGACATCGCTGAAGCAGCCAAGGCTCTCGGTGGAAAGATCAGTGGCTTCTTCAAGAAGGGTCCTGCTCATCTCGACTATCCCGTATCGGAAGTCTACGAGGGACCACTTGACAGCACGAATCGCGTCACTGACATTGAAGGTGAACCACTCACCCACCATGTCACAGTCTACCACAGCGGAAGATCTGATGAGCCAGTGCCGAAGCCAGAAGAAGAGCCCAGAATTGACATCGCTGATGCTGCCAAGACCTTCGGTGACAAGATCACTGGACTGTTCAAGAGAAGACCAACTATTCCTGACTATCCAATATCAGAACCGTACGAAGGTCCACTGGAAGCTACGAACAAACGAGAAGATATCGAATCTCAGCCAATTCACAATATCGTCACTGTGTATCACAGTGGCCGATCCGATATTCCTCAAGAGCCAGTCGCACCACCACCAGCTCCAGTCGAAGTTATTGCAGTTGTTCCTGCAAGAGACATGTACTACGACTATCCTACTACGGCAGCCTACGAAGGACCACTGGAGAGCACAACTCGCGTGACAGACATCGAAGGTGAGCCTCTCACCTATCATGTGAGCGTGTACCACAGTGGCAGATCTGATGAACCGGCACCTAAACCAGAGAAACCCGAAGAAGAGCCACTCGACATCGCTGAAGCAGCCAAGGCTCTCGGTGGAAAGATCAGTGGCTTCTTCAAGAAGGGTCCTGCTCATCTCGACTATCCCGTATCGGAAGTCTACGAGGGACCACTTGACAGCACGAATCGCGTCACTGACATTGAAGGTGAACCACTCACCCACCATGTCACAGTCTACCACAGCGGAAGATCTGATGAGCCAGTGCCGAAGCCAGAAGAAGAGCCCAGAATTGACATCGCTGATGCTGCCAAGACCTTCGGTGACAAGATCACTGGACTGTTCAAGAGAAGACCAACTATTCCTGACTATCCAATATCAGAACCGTACGAAGGTCCACTGGAAGCTACGAACAAACGAGAAGATATCGAATCTCAGCCAATTCACAATATCGTCACTGTGTATCACAGTGGCCGATCCGATATTCCTCAAGAGCCAGTCGCACCACCACCAGCTCCAGTCGAAGTTATTGCAGTTGTTCCTGCAAGAGACATGTACTACGACTATCCTACTACGGCAGCCTACGAAGGACCACTGGAGAGCACAACTCGCGTGACAGACATCGAAGGTGAGCCTCTCACCTATCATGTGAGCGTGTACCACAGTGGCAGATCTGACGAACCGGCACCTAAACCAGAGAAACCCGAAGAAGAGCCACTCGGCATCGCTGAAGCAGCCAAGGCTCTCGGTGGAAAGATCAGTGGATTCTTCAAGAAGGGTCCTGCTCATCTCGACTATCCCGTATCGGAAGTCTACGAGGGACCACTCTATAAGACAGATCGATCTAGTGAATTGTTAACTCAACCCCTCAGTCACCATGTGAGTGTTTACCATAGCGGTTTCTCAGATGGTTACTCAAGAACCTTGGAGGAGACTCAAGTTAGAAGGGAATCAAAGACGAGAACTTACAGTGAAGTCGGTGCTCTATGGAAGCAGCCATCACTAGAAACATACCAGCCAAGTGTAGAAAAACAAATAGATGATGGTCGTGGTAAAGTCGACCTCGATATTCAGCTAAAAGTAAAATCCCAAGATGTACAAAAGGACGCCAAACTTTTTGAAAACGGTCAAGCAAAAGTAAATGAGGAGCTTCCGGTATTTTTGAGCGCGGACACCCTGGAGAGAGATCAAAAACCCGTCGGCTTTTCTGTTTCAATTAGCGCTCGACAACCAGATGACCGCACAACTTCTGAGCTATTCTCTTCTCTTTCGAGAGAATCGTCGTCGGATAAGCGGTACTACCTACGAGATCAATCGACTAGGAATGAGCGCAGCTCCAAACATCGGCTCTCTCCCCATACCTGGACAACAGTCAAAGAGCGTACGGAAGTGACTTATGTGCGTAAACTTCACATAGAACGATCACTGAGTCCAAGAGCTCGTTCACCACCACGGTCTGGCACAATCAAAAGAGTCCCATATCAGCCGGCAGCTGCAACTGCCGCACAGGAACGTGGTTACTCCTGCCGATCTAGCAACTTCGATGAGCGAGTTTTGGTCCATCATCCTATCTACCCACCGAACCAATCCTTGTATCGCAATGGAGGTACATATGGTAACGGCGAATCACGCAACGGACGTTCTCGAACGTATAGCCCGGTGCGTGAGGTTGCCGCTTTTGACCGAACGGAATGGATTGAAAAGCATCCCAGTTACATACCGCCAAATCGCCGAGCTGATGAGATTTTCACCGTGGGCACTCCATTTATCATGGGTCATGTGGAACGTGATGATAACGGTTGCGCCTATCTGAGATACCAAAGCAGTGGGCTACAGGAGCGTCCCCCGTTGAAAGACCGCATAGAAGACTTACCAATGATCGAAGAGGGAGCCATTGAATGTCGCCGTGCTACAATAAGGGCCGGACTGCGTGATATGGACACTGTGGGCTTGGTTCAAGATGAGGAGGAACTCGAGCGACGACGACGTCCACTACGCCGAGCACGTCAACGCATGCGCAACTACTGCACTATGCTTTGAAAATATTGAAAATCTTGCTTTCAATGCTGTGTTTATACCCGAAATCGTCTTTGTATGTCACCGTTATAGTAAATCGACCAGTTTCAATGAATCTGGGACGAACGAAGACTTTCTCAAAGTTAAAACGAAATGCTTATGCTGGTATTGCTTTTGCTACTCGTAGCAATGCCATTATCTCCATGTCAGATGATTGTAGATGATAGTAACACATAGAATTTGCTATTCTCATTAAGGGTTGTTTCCCAACACCATGCACACCGGGTAATCTCATATATCCAGCTTTCATTAGATGCATGCTCGTTATTGCATATTGTTTTTCTGCAAGATAATAAAGTTGTTATTTATAAATTTTTGTAAAACAAAGCAATGCATGTCGAATCTCTCGGCAAATACAACATTATCAAGTTATGCGGATAAAGGTGCCTCTTCCAAAATTCCTGATATAGCGCTCTTACTCCGTGATATTAGACGTCCGAAAGGGTAAGTTGAGCGCAAAAATTTTATCCCGATTTTACGCGCGGCTCTGACAATATCTTTCTCGGAACTCCAAGTTGTTGCTTCTCGTAAATTATTCATTCGCAAATTTCCGACCTCATAAAGCAGTGTGACAGTTTGTCTGGTATCATAGAAAGATGATTGTGCTCATGAGTTGTAATGTTGCACATCTTGGTGTAAGCATGTTTTACGTAGGTTCTGATCCCACGCTTCTATACGTCTACATAAACATCGTGGATGATGGAACTTTAACAGCTCTACAGCGGGATAGATGAGCTTGTGAGAGACATGAACGGAAGACAATAATCACAGCACCGCAGCTTAGTCCACAGATAAACCCATCCAACAAAGAACATCGACAAGTTCCACAGCAGCGAAAGATCTCAGAGCAAAGTAAAAAAATCCAAGTTCCGTTTTCAATAGGAAAATTTCGTGCAATTTGAAGATATCTTATTAGCGATAGTCCATACAGTGAATGCAGGCTCAAAATTTTTGAGGAGATTTTCGTTTTCGAAGTAAAATGTGTGTTAGATTTATACAAATGTTCTTGAGTTTTTGGTGCAGAACAGCCATAAAAGATAAAAATATTCTCAGCTCAGATTAGCTTAGGAGTGTCAATACGATATACCATAACAACAGTAGTAATCTTATATATAAAGCTGAATGTCTGTTTGTCTGTCTGTCTGTATGTCTGTCTGTCTGTCTGTATGTATGTACGTATGTTCCGAATACAAATTTTTATTTCTGAACCGATCGGGACCAAACTTGGCACACATATACTTCAGGGCAGGGAGCGTGTCATAGGCTACTTTTCGTTATCGATCGATATCGATTTTATTGATTTTTTGCAAAATTCGAGCTAGAGGGCTGGGATTTGGCAGAGGGGGGTAATCGAGCATGCTGATCACCCTCGTGGGGATGATCAGCATGCTCGACTACACCCCTCTGCCAAATTCCAGCCCCCTAGCTCAAATTTTGCAAAAAATCGGTAAAATCGACATCGATCGATAACGAAAAGTGGGCTGTGACACGCTCCCTGCCCCGAAGTGTATGTGTGCAAAGTTCGGTCCCAATCGGTTCAGAGATAAAAATTTCTATTTGGAACATACGTACACGGGTCTAGCTGGCAGGCCCGGCGGAGCCGGGCAAGCCAGCTAGTTTTTTCATAAATGTACAAAGTTTTCATAAATATGAACTTTGATTAGCGTAGCTAATGGCCCTCTGCGATACGAATTTGACGTCATTAATCGGGCTCTCGTCATAGCTAAAAAACTGTTTGACAAAAAATGGGTACTTCTCTCGCACGCTCATTCGTTACCTATCGCCCTAGCTGCCATTCGCTCCTTCTAGACATTTATCCCAATAAACCTCAAATCTCTGAGTTGGGCATTGTACTAGGTCATTTCGAAAGTAAATTCGCTTTTCAAACAGGCGCCACATCCCATGAAACAAAGATTATCGGAAGATCTTGGTCGCATTCGATACAATTTTTCATTTTCTTCCAAAAAAATTGCATTGCATTTCAACTAACGAGCTTCCAGAAAGTCACTAAAAGCTACGAACCATGGGTTTTGCCATCGTCAACTTTCACTATTTTCCAGATTCTTGTACCGATCCCTCGGAGAAGTCGATGTTAAGGATGGATAGAGCAAGCCCTACAGGATACAAAACTTTGCAAGTCCTACAAGATACTAAACTTTGAATCTCACTATTCTTGTGATCACAATTTTTTGATAAAACGTTCATAAGAGGCAGCAGCGTACACGAATTTGAAATATTGAAGTAATTCTCGGGTGCAGCGTGGGGCGCGCAAAACCATGAAATATGATAATTACATCCCCGAAGACTCCAACCCTACGAAAAGAAGAAAAAAAGCTGCATCAAATGCCACCCAAGCAGCTCGCTGTCTGATGTTCTACGAGTTTTGAGTGACCAAATATATTGGTAGCAACAAACAAAATGCTATCAAAAGTTATGACAAGTAATGGAAAGGAGAGGAAAATTCTTCTGTAGCAAGTAGAGTTTGCTCTGCCTCTTGCTCGGATTCCTTCGAGGATCATTTGGTACGCGATGCTGAATAAAATTTCATCTACGTGGGCTCAAACCTAACATAGATGATGTTACCAGAGTCGAAATAAACAACTGCATTGGACTTGCGGGTTAGATGATTGAATGTCAATTATTTAGGAGCAGACCCGGTATGTTTATGAAACCGAGTTGAAAATTTGATGATAGGATGGCATAAGGTTGTGTCAACAATGAAACATACAGTCGGTATCAACCACGTGCTCCCTTTTTCCCAGTGCCTACGCGCCGCAGCGCGTGGAGATTGTGCAGCGCTCTGCGCTCGATGCGGCAGATTGAACGCTCAAGCGGTATGCTGCGAATGCGGCACGCGGTGCTAGCGCTGCGCTTAGAAGCAGTGTCCGGGCAAAAACTCGATTTTGAGATTTTGTGCTTACCCGGGCCTATTCGCTGCGCTGAATCCAAAAATGCACATTAGAGAGCGCGAAAATGGCGAAAAACGCCTCTAGAACGGGAGGGAAATCAGCAGGTGGGCGGGGTCCTCCCCACTGCGAATTTACGCTCCCAGCTTCCGGAGCGATCTTCTCGCTTCCGGTTTCAAGTCAGTCATTCGCACTTGGACGGTAGCGATGTTAGGACGGCTAGCGGAATTGAGAAGACCGCTCCGGAAGCTGGGAGCGAGAATTCACAGTGGGGAGGACCCCGCCCACTTGCTGTTTCCTTCCTGCGCTAGAGCCCTTTTTTGCCGTTTTCGCGCTTTCCAGTGTGGATTTTCTTATTCAGCATGGCAAATAGGCCCGGGTAAGCACAAAATCTCAAAATCGAGTTTTTGCTCGGACATGCCTTCAAGGTGATCGACAAGGGACCACTTGACACCGACTGTATCGTCGATTTATTGACTGCACGGACAGTTCGAACGCTGCGGACTATAGTTGAAACGACCGAAAAATTTCGTCGAACGAATGAATTTCGAATAATCGGCTTTTGAAAAATATTCGAACGAACGAATATTATTCGATCTGTGATTTTCAGACTATTCGAATTCGAATATTCGAATAATGCCACATTTCAAAATTCGAATGAACGAATATTGAATGAATAGGGTTGGTCGAACATTCGACTGTTCGAATAATCGAATAACCACACCTATCCGAATATTCGACTATTCGAATAATTCGAATAATCTAGCACCTCAAACAATGCTTGTTTTCTTTGTTGCGGTTTTCTGCAAAAAAATTAATGGCTATATTTGATCTAGATTTGTAACTGATAATAATATGTGTAGCAAGTGGCCGGATGACTGGGTTGTTGTCGTTGGTCAGGGCTCTATCTAGGAAATAGAAGAATTTCATTCAAACATGTAGTTCAAGGTGTTCATGGTCTTTTCAAATGGCTACCAAACCTTACTTAGTAATCGTTTCATCCGCATTTATTCTTCCTCACAGAAATTTCTCCTGAAGCTAAACAGAACTTTTTTCCAAAGCAAATAATTAAAATGAAAAACCTTGATTAGGTAGTTGTTTGTAATTTATTCGTAATGGTCAGCATTGCCTGAGTTCTAAGACTAGCACTGGAGGAGCACGAGGAAGGCCTACAGTAATAGAATCAGTGAACTTCTGCTGTTGTCCCGAAAGTTTTGTCCTTTTTCCAAACCACTATAAAAGAACGCACAATAAAAAGTTTCGTTAAATGAGTTTCAACATGCATTCGATGCAGCTTTTCCTTCTCCTTTTTAAGAATACATTTTCGAACCACAATATTGTGTGCTTTCTTTGATGACTGCTAAAATTCTCCATCCGTCAATTTTATCTGCTCAAAGTTAGGCTACTTTTTTGAATTTCATTCCAAAGTTTCGGAGGGTTTTTGAATTTTTCCAAAGTTTCCCAAGTGTAGATCAAATAGAGCAACTCTCGGACTACAAGGTGATATTTTGGTTCTTTTTATTTGCTGTTTTTAGCTTCAAAAACATTATTTCTTCGGAAGTCTTGATTTTTGGAAAAGTCACGAAAAACGCAACTGCAGCAAATACGCGAAAGCTTGAAGCTTTTGCGAATTGAAATATGATTTTTATCAAACATTATTTATGCTATTTAACCAAGTTTGATTTGCTTTGAAAAGCAGCTTTTTAGAATTTTCGGTGCTTTTACATGGTAAACGCAATCAAAAAGCAGCAGTTTTTATCAAATAAATAATTATAACGAGCTTGGTAAACATGGCCCATGTAATCTAAAAGGGGACAATGTAGCCAAAGGCTTGCTCTACATAACAAGCATCAGCGCTCTTTGAAAACATCAGGATAAAAATTTCTAAAATTCAGTAAAGATTTGGCGTTGTTTTTGAGCTGCTCAGGAAGCCGTGGCGATAACATTGATTGCAAAGACAGAGTATATCAGAGAGCAAATACACCTGTAAGAATGAAGATAAAAATCTGCATCAAATCGTACCTAAGTTGTCCATGGATTCGTGTTCTGTGAGTTCTA